GGAGTTTTTATGCTTATACCACCTGTTATTGATCGTTTTCTCAGTAAGCCCAACGTAATAATATCCTTCTTCTTCCTGGTGAGTTTTTGCATTGCAAATATAAATAAGATTTTTTGTAAAGCATTTTCCATTGAGTGGGCATAAAGTAGTTTGTCGACAATTGCATAACTGGTTGGCATGAGAACTAAATAATATCTTTTTATTATGAGAAGTAATAATATTCTTAATGTTTGGAAGGCAGCTATAACTAACCTTTAAGTTGTTTCAATTAAAAAGTTTGTGAAATTTGTGGCCTTTCGGGAAACATCAATTGTACTCAAAACATATCAATGGTACTCAAAAATTCGGGAAACATATCAATTGTACTCAAAAATGTTTTGGCTACGTTTGTTCTGACGTTGAGTTAATAAGGTGGGTTAAACCAGATAATGATTCTTTTTCGAGATTTTGTATTATATTTCTGGATATTTGGAATGAAATTGATCTTATCTTTGAATCCACAAGAATTGAGAACGTTATTATAAAATGGTGTGGCTGTATCAAAAGCTTCTTTGCTTGAAGATATATTGCTGATGCGGTTAGAGATCATTTTTGGTATCGATTTAATAATGCTTGGTGGATAATTGGAATTGATGTTAATATATAAAGGATTATCTCCTGGTTTTCTATAAGGTTTAAAAGAGTTTTCAGAAAGGTTAAATGTGATATCAAGAAAACTTACGGTTTTTAAGTTTGGTTTGATAGTGATGTTAAGATTAAAATTGTCTTTAAAAATTTTTATTAGGTTTTTCTTTATTTTTTTCGATTGAGGACCACTGATATTATAGAAGCAGCAAAGACCATCATCTCTATATAGACCGGTAGTATTAAGACCATATTCTTTGGCAATAGTGTATAAGATATAGAGGCCAACTAGTTCGCATAATTCGGATGTTAATATAACATCATTAACACAGATGCTAAAATGATAGCAAAAGACTTGGGCATAGATGATAGAGCGTCTTGCCATGAATACAGCAATCATTACCTTAAAAGATAATTTCACCAACAATACACAGTGCCGATGGATAAATCCAGCTAAACCAGAACTCGGAAAAGTAAGTAAAACTTTATTAGATGATATCAATAGTAAAGTTAGGAATGCTTCCCACGTACACCAATGGCACAGCACAAATGACGTCAGAAATTGGTTTAAATCAATACCCGAAAAAAATAAATGTACATTTATTCAGTACAATATTAAAGAGTTTTACCCTTCAATTTTGAAACAACTTTTTCAAGATTCTATTAACCATGCAAAACAGTTCACTAAAATTCCTGATAAATTACTCGAAATTATTTACCACGTCAGGAAATCTTTACTTTTTTCAGGAAATAATATATGGATTAAAAAGAGCGTTATTATTAAATTATTTATAATAACGCTCTCAATTCTTGTGGATTCAAAGATAAGCTCAATTTCATTCCAAATATCCAGAAATATAATACAAAATCTCGAAAAAAAAAACATTATCTGGTTTAACCCATTTTATTCACTCAACGTCAGAACAAACGTAGCCAAAAGGTTTTTGAGTACAATTGATAAATGTTTCCCGATAGGCCACAAATTTCACAAACTTTTTAATCTAAACAACTTAAAGGTTAGTTATAGCTGCCTTCCAAACATTAAGAATATTATTACTTCTCATAATAAAAAGATATTATTTAGCTCTCATGAAAATGCCAATCTATTATGCAATTGTCGAAAAACTACCTTATGCCTTATTACTCAATGGAAAATGTTTTAAAAAAAATCTTATTTATATTTGCAATGCAAAAACTCACCAGGAAGAAAAAGGATATTATTACGTTGGGCTTTCTGAGAAAACGTTCAATAACAGGTGGTATAAGCATAAAAACTCCTTTGTTTATGAAAGCAAGGCCAACTCCACTGAACTTTCGAAATTTGTGTGGGAATGCAAAAATAAAGGTATAGAACCTATAATAAAATGGAATATTCTTGATCAAGCGGAGCCATTCAAACCTGGTGGTAAATTTTGCAATTTAACCTTGACAGAAAAATATCACATTATCACGTCACCATTAAATTTACTTAATAAACAAACCTAGCTTGCGTCAAAATGCCGCCATGAAAATAAACTTATCATAAAGAACTTTAATGTCATCAAAGCGGACACTCCATAGCATTTTTTGTATATAATTTTTGTCGTTACTTTTTTGTTGTTGTTACATCTGATGATCGCTATTGCGTGAAAGTTTTAGTTATGTAATTGAAATATATCTTTATAATTATTTAGTTTTCATATATATATATATATATATATATATATATATATATATATATATATATATATATATATATATATATATATATATATATATATATATATATATATATATATATATATATATATATATATATATATATATATATATATATATATATATATATATATATATATATATATATATATATATATATATATATATATATATATATATATATATATATATATATATATATATATATATATATATATATATATATATATATATATATATATGAAGACCTCAATGGAAAAATCACGGAGTTTAACAAAATACAACAAGTTGAATAATTCTCTGTAGCTTGGTAAGTTGTTGTCTGAGAAAAACTGTCCCATTCGGTAGCTGACTTATTTTCTTGTTCAACAATACAAGTATTATAGGGTATAGCAATTTCGACATCAACTTTGCATTATAAAAAACGCCTGGTTAAATCCAGAGAAAAGAACATTAGGCCATTTACTTAGATACAACAATGTTAATTGAATGAGTTAAATAATTACATTTGTTGAAATTTTGACTCATTGTTTCTTAACAAATATTGATAATGATTTTTTAAATATCAAAGAATGTAAAATTTTAGAGGTGTCATGGTCTTTAAGAGCTTAGCAAAGCAGATTTTCAAAGTTCTCTTAAACCTAAAAACCAAACAATCTGTCCGTATTTTTATAGCTCATAATACTGATATTAGTTTGATTTTAAATATTAAATAATAATAAAATATTTTACGAATTTATATTTTTACTTTTCAAAGCTTTGAAACTTAAAAATTTAAATGATTTTTTAAGGAGACATTTTAAAACTTTTTGATTTAAATTATAGTTAAATACACCTTAGTTATTTACTTCAACCTTAAAAGATAATTTAAAATTGGGTGTTTTTAGAATATGTCGTATAAACACAGCTACTTAAGTTTTTGAGGTTCTTTTATGAGAATGCTTTTTAGATTTAATTTTTATAATTATATTCAAGTTCATTTACATCATGATCAAGGTTAACTTCATTTGTGTCCATTAAAGTTAAAATATTAGATGGCTGTTTTTTTTTCTTTAGGATTCTTTCTTGTTCAACAACTTTTTTGTATTGATTTTGAGCAAGGCTATTTTTAAGATCAACTAAGCTTACTGATGCCTTCCTATAAGTTGTCATGCTAATCAGAAACTGTTTATCCTCTGCATCAACCAATTTATATCAAGCGCATCTTGTAGCCTGAACCTCAATGTTTTTGTAAACTTGTCCTTAAACCCAATAAATATTTTTTGTATTTTTGTTAGTGTTTCTATAGGTATGGTCAATTTTCAGCATGCTTTTTACTTAACAAAATAATGTCATGTTTTTTTCGCCTAACTTGTCAGTGTTCGCCTAACTTGTCAATAAATTAAATGCCCACAAAAAATAGCTCAAATTAGGAAAGAAGAATATTAATTGATATAATACTCCAATTAACATTCTAGTAGGTTGGACCTGGTAATAACAAAGTTTCTCCTGATTATGGACAAATTTTGAAAAACTGTGTCAACCTTGAAACTTTAATTTAAATCTGCTACCATTAAACATTGTCCAATTTTTAAAAGATTTTATATCCTTGTTATTTATTATGGATGAATATGGTTTTGTTTTAATTTTTTTTTTTTCAACATTTTATTATTATTTTTATTAATCTAAATTTTTTTTATATTTTTATATTTATTAAATTTATTTTATATTTTTTTATATTTATTAAATTTATTTTATATTTTTTTTATAAAATGAAAAGCTTTAATGGTTTTAGAGAAATTTTAATTGAAAAAAAAAAAAAAAAACCCTGAATGTTCTCTAAGGTCCCATCACTCTTAAGATGAGTTTCCACTCATCCGCTTTTCTACTAAAACGGGATAGAAAAGGGAAAAATAATCACGTGAGCATGCGTAGTTTTACTTCGGATATATTAAAACTTTTAATACGCATGCCCACGTAATTATTTTTACCTTCCCTCTCCCGTTCCCGTGAAAAAACCGATGAGTGGAAAATCACCTTTAGGGAAGTAAATACAGTAAATAGTAAAAAAAATCTATATATTTTATTACAAGTTACGAATTATGCAGTAGTTCACTCCTCTTTTCGTATTATCCTCTGGAGCAGTATTTTTTATGTTTTATTCAGCGTATTATATTTTTAACTTAAAGAAACTTTTCCGGCCAAACATTACATTTTTAATAAAATCAATAAAAGCAAGGAAGCAAGTATTTTTACTTCCGTGATTCACTCCTCTACAAAAGCTGTCTCTTCCAAGCACACGACCCATGGGCATGGCGTATCTTTGCATTTTAGTGTGTGAGTAACATGAAACAAACTCTAAACTTTTTTCAAGTTTAGTTTCAAATTATGTTAAACGACAATGCTATACAAAAAATTAGTTAATAATTATGTTAAATAATTAGATAATAATTATGTTAAATAACAATGCCAAGCAAAAAAGAGAAATACTTTTTCTTGGATAAAAAAAACATAGTTTTACTTTTTCCCGACTCCCCCTTTCCCTAGCCCAAAACTTCCCGAGAGTAGTAAATTACGAAAAAGTTGTTTTTTTCATAAATTAAATTTATATTGATCAATAGATTTTGAATTTCATACGAAAAATGACTGAAATTAAGTATTTAAAAAATATATATATACATACAGACATTTATTTTTAATACAAAATAATAGTTCTATATGAAATAATATTTAAAATTATGCTCAGTAGGTAAATAGTTTGACTGAAGAAGACAATTAGTTAATAATTGAAAAAAGAAACATATTGCGGACACAGATAAAACTTCTTTCGAAGATTAAATCTAAAAAAAAAAGTTAAAAATCAATAAAGTACAGAAAAAAATTATTCTAATATCTAAAAAAAACTGAAAAAAACAAACAAGCAACAAACAAACAACAAACCGAAATATCTTCTTCATCTTCTCTGAACAGTTTATGTTTTTTCTTTTGAAAAGTCATGAAAATAAGTTTTATGGAAAATACCTTTCCAATAGTTAACTGGTTTTTATCTATAGTTAAAATATAAGAAGTTACAAAACAAAAAGTGAATTTGAACCTATTTCATCTATATTTTCAGTAAATTATATATATATATATATATATATATATATATATTATATATATATATATATATATATATATATATATATATATATATATATTTATATATATATGTATATATATATATATATATATATATATATATATATATATATATTATTTTTAAAAATAACACGATGTTTTTTATTCTTGACATGTTTCATAAAATTTATTTACATTTTTAAAAGATTATTTTACAATAATAAAACTCTGAAATAAATATTAAAAAAAGAAGTCTTTACATAGAAATAATAACGGACAAAAATTTACATAATGAACCAATATATTATTTATTACAAAATAACTCGGTAAATAACCAATCAAAATAACTTACTGTCAAAAAATAGTAATAATAAAGATAATAAAATGACAGTAAAATTAAATAGATAAGTTTATAACATATTATGAAGTTTGTTTATTAAGTGAGGGACTTTCCCATTTAATGTAGAGGGCTTCTTTTATCTTTAATTTGTGTTTGGTTCGGGTATTATCCAAAATCTCAATCTTGTATTTTATTAGTAGTGAAAATTAATTTTATTAAAACATCCTTGCAATATTTATGAACAATTTTTAAAATATTCATTTTAGTATAATTAGAGTACATTCCAATATATGGAAGCTTAAAGTATCTTATATTTAAGCTACTAACAATGTTAGAAACAGATAGCTTCATTTTCTTATCAATATAGGGTTTAATTTCAATAATTTTTTTTGAAAATTTATTATTTTGAAAAACTAATGATAGATTTTTAATACCTTTATCAAAACCAACCCAAGTGTTATTAATTTTAAATGTACAATCAATCAAACAATGAACAAGTCTAAATTTGTAGCAAGAACGAATAAAACTTAAAAATTTTTGTAAAAGACCTGTAAACGTTTTTTTGTGATAAACTGAAGACGAAAATGAATGGGATTTTTTAATAAGTACATCTAAAAAGGCAATCTGGTTATCTTGTTCTTTTTTCATAGTAAATTTCAAATTTTATGTTGTTTATTAAGGTGTTTGAAAAATTCTTGAGCTTCATATTCAGAATTAAAAATAACAATTATATCCTCCACATACCGTTTATAAAATAATGGTGCTGTAAAGGAGCAGTTATTGATCCATTTTTGTTCATGAAACCCGACAAAAATATTAGCTAAGATAGGCGCTAAAGGAGAACCCATAGCAACACCATCCGTTAAGATTTAAGTTTGATTGATCGTACATTTAAAATTAATAATACTTGGGTTGGTTTTTATAAAGATATTAAAAATCTATCATTACTTTTACAAAATAATAAATTTCCACAAAAAACTATTGACTCTGATATTAAATCCTATATTGATAAGAAAATGAAGCCATCTGTTTCTAAAATTGTTAATAGCTTAAATATAAGATACTTTAAGCTTCCATATATTGAAATGTACTCTAATTATACTAAATGAATATTTCAAAAATTGTTCATAAATATTGCAAGGATGTTCTTATAAAATTAATTTTCACTGCCAATAAAATACAAGATTGTTTTTGCTTAAAAAAGTCACTTCCTAAACTGCTTAAACTGCTGTTGTCTATAAATTTTCTTGTGCTGGCTGTAATATCAGATATATTGGAGAAACCTCCAGACATTTGGCAACTAGAATAAATGAGCACCTTAAAAGTGATAAACAATCTCATATATTTAAACACTTAAATTTATCTTTTAATTGCAAAAATCTACTGTGATTCTTTTGAGATTTTGGATAATGCCCGAACCAAACACAAGTTAAGCCCTCTACATTATATAGGAAAGTCCCTCACTTAATAAACAAACTTCACAATATGTTATAAACTTATCTTTTTAATTTTACTGTCATTTTATTATTTTTATTATAACTATTTTTTGACAGTTAGTTATTTTGATTGGTTATTTACCGAGTTATTTTGTAATAAATATTTTGGTTCATTATGTAAATTTTTGTCCGTTATTATTTCTCTGTAAAGACTTCTATTTTTTATTATTTATTTCAGAGTTTTATTATTGTAAAATAATCTTTTAAAAATGTAAATAAATTTTACAAAACATGTCAAGAATAAAAAACATCGTGTTATTTTTAAAAATAATTACTTATTTTATGCTATTATGACGATCACAATACATATATATATATATATATATATATATATATATATATATATATATATATATATATATATATATATATATATATATATATATATATATATATATATACACATATACATATATATATATATATATATATATATATATATATATATATATATATATATATATACACATATACATATATATATATATACATATATATATATATATATATATATATATATATATATATATATATATATATATATATATATATATATATATATATATATATATATATATATATATATATATATATATATATATATATATATATATATGTATATATATATTTTATGATCGTCATAATAGCATAAAATAAGTAATTATTTAAATATAAATTAAATATATATATATATATATATATGTATATAAATATATATATATATATATATATATACATATATATATACATATATATATATATATATATATATATATATATATATATATATATATATATATATATATATATATGTATGTATGTATGTATATATATATATATATATATATATATATATATATATATATATATATATATATATATATATATTTATTAATTTATATATCTAACCTGTTAAATCAGGAAAAAATTTATCTAAAGACTTTAAAGCAATAGCTGGCCATAAAGAGTTGATAATATTCTTAAACTCTACATCAGTTTTATTCAAATGAATCTTCAAACCAAATCGAACTAGAGTCATTAAAACATTATGGAAAGATACATTACCATCAGCATTTAGTGGAATGTTCATCTGCATCATACGCTAATAAAGGAAATATTTAACTTTGCCCAATTTTAAATTTTTACTGTTAAAACATATATATACAACAACTACTACAATGTCATAATATACTACTTTTTTTAAAAATATGACTGCGACACCAAAAGAATATTGAACTTTTTGATAAAGATAATCTCAGCATATATACAAAGACAATCTTATGGAGGTCTCATGTGAATTTATAATAAGGTACTAACCGGGTTTAAAAAAGTCAACTTTGAAACAAATTGAATATCAATTTTTAAAGTAGATGATAAATTAATACTGGGTGTTTATCTCACTTACAATAATGGACAAATTGATTCACTATTACAGCACAAATCAGAGCTAAAGTATCAGTGATTGGTAACTTAGAGACACTAATTTTGACAATGCAAACTATTGAAGGTAAAAATCTCATAAGTGGAGACCTTATTCATAAGTGAATTGTACTTTTAGGCGCAATGTAAATGCAAAGATGAAAAGTAAATTGAGAATAGACCGAGAATTTGATCAATATTTTGCAAAATATCTATTTCAAGTGAACATTTGAAATCGTGTCAATCATATAAGCAATAAAAGCAATCTTGGCGTATTTGCTAATATTTATAAATCATACAGACTTATCAATAAAAAAAATTTAAAAAACCAAACTTAATTGGAACATTAACAAGCAGTGGAACAAATACATGCAAAATTGAGAAAAAAAGTTAAACACATTAAATATTGATGACATTCTTAATGCAAATTCCGAAAAAATTGTTAAGAAACTAGATATATTTATAAACAAGCTCATCAGTTGCACAAGAAAAGAACACCAAGTAACAGGTCAAACCTTAAGTAGCAGAAAAATATCAGATACAACAAGAATAAAAAATGGTGGGTTGATGAAATGACATGTATATATATATATATATATATATATATATATATATATATATATATATAATATATATATATATATATATATATATATATATATATATATATATATATATATATATATATATATATATTTCCCGTCAGGTTTAACCTGCTACTGGTAACATGTAACCCATTACAATCTGCTTCATGTCCTGCTGCCTTGTAGGATATACCTTTTTAGGCAAAGGCTAGGAGAATTCAACTCCGACATAAAACACCCCCTGCCTTGGGGCTCTTGGTTGAGTAAAGGCTAGAGATGGTGTCTCGATAAAAATACTCATCTTGGGCAGATGTTAAATGCATCCGGCTGCTGTCTTGTAGAAGGCCTTCTAGGTAAAGACTTAAGGGGTAAACAGATTCTATCTGTTGACCAGCCTCGCAGCTCTTCTTCATCTTTTAGGCTGGTGCAAATGTATTTTTAATACATTGTTTACAGTTTAGGAATGCTGGATCTACTTGACTCGATGGATGGGTTTTGCTTGTGTCTCTGTTTTTATGACTAGGCAACTCATTCTATTATCTCCTAATGAGGGTACAGCTCTAAAACTCAGTTTTATAGTTCTGACGCCGGCTGGTAGTCAGGTTTCCCGAACTCTGTGGTAGCTCTCAGAGAGGCTGATTCCATCAATAGCTGTAAAATATCAAAGTACTAACAGTGCCATGTTGCGCATGAATGGTGTCCCTGTTTGTACTTTTGATAAGCATTGTCAAGACCACATCAGAGCCCTTTGTTATGGCTAAGGGTTTATTAATATTAATGAGGCAGTTGCTTGGGATATTAAATAGTGTACAGAGTACTATCTATGTTTCCAGTCAAGTTCTTTAACAAATTGAAAAATGAATAAAGTAACAAAAACTAAAAAACACAAAAAACCACAGTCATCACCAAGTTCGCTAATCATTCACTAATATTCGTGGTCTTCGAAGTAACTTTTCTTCTGTTGAGTCTTATCTCTTGCAAAGATCTACTTGCTCTTTGTGAGACTAATTTGAGTTCACTGTCTCATCTTGTGATCTTAGTGTTGATGGCTATCTTCCTTTAATTCGTAAAGACTCCAATAGCCACATGCTTGGCATGGGGATTTACATTTGTAAAAATTCAGCCATTTGTCGGGAAACTAGGTTTGTATCCACACCCTACTCTTTTATGTGCTTTCGTTTAGCACCACTTCACTCTATCACCTTTCTCTTTGTTCTATATTGCTCTCCTTCATCTCAAGACTGCACTCTTCTTGATATTATTTCTGATCATATTGACCAAGCCCTCTCTCTTTATCCATCAGCCAATATTGTTGTTTTCGGTGACTTTAATGTTCATTACACTGAATGGCTTGGCTCTAGTGTCAGTGACTCTGCAGACATTAAAGCCCACAACTTTTACCTTTCTCAATCCCTAACTCAAATAGTCAACTTTCAAACTCGCTTTCCAGACAACCCGAACCATTTACCTTCTGTACTTGACTTGTGTCTTGTTTCTGATCCTAGTCAGTGCTCAGTTTTTCCACATTCACCCTTAGGTGCCTCTGATCACAGTTTGATCTCTCTAAAACAATTATCTCATTCTTTTCTATTATCAGAATCCCCCTATAATCATACATCTTACAACTACCTTAAAGCTGACTCTTTCAGTGATTTGGGACTCTTTCAGGGATCTGGGACTCTTTCAGTGATTTTCTTTGTGATGGCCCTTGAGTAGAAATCTTTCGTCTTCCTGTTGACAAATGTGTTTCTTTTGTCAACAGGAAGACGAAAGATTTCTACCCAATTGCCAATCGAAACCATTACTTCCATATCTATCAGCAAAACAATTCTCCAGAAAACAGACATCTGTTTATTACTGCTAGGAACCATTATAAAAAGGTTTTACGCAACACCAAAGCCCGCTATTCTCAGATTATGAAATCTTGTATTTTATCTCTAAAATTAGGCTCTGGTGACTTCTAGAGAATCTTTAATAGTATCAATAATAAGGGCAAGTCTGTAATTCCACTTCTTTTGTGTGGTTCACACTTTGTCGCCTCACCTAAAGTCAAAGCTGAATTGTTTGCTAAGAACTTTTCATTGATACTATCACTTGATTTCACTAGTTGCACTCTAGCCATCAAACAGGTTGATCCATTGCTTGACATCCATGTCACTCCAACTACTGTATCTAAAGTGATTTCCTGCTTAGACTCTTCTACAGCTTGCAGCCCGGACAACATACTTGTTATAGTCTTGCAGAAGTGTCCTCCGGAGCTGTTGTCTATCCTTTCAAAACTATTTAACAAGTGCTTATCAAAGTCTTGTTTTCCAGCCTGCTGGAAAGCAGTATCTGTTATCCCTATTTTTAAAAATTCTGGAAAGCAACCTGATTTGTCTAACTACCGTCCCATTAGTCTTCTTCCTATCATAAGCAAGGTTTTTGAATCTTTAATTAACAAACACTTAATCTCTCATCTTGAATCTAATAACTTACTTTCTGATCTTCAATATGGATTTCGATTTTCTCCTTCTACAGCTGATTTGCTAACAGTAATAATCGATATGTTTTGTCGCGCATTAGATAAAGGTGGGGAGGTTAGGGCTATTGCTCTTGACATTTCTAAAGCGTTTGATAAAGTTTGGCATGCTGGTCTTCTCCATAAGCTTTCTTCTTACGGTGTATTTTGAAACATCTTTAAGATTATTGAACCCTTCCTTATTATCACGATAAGAAGCAAACTCCCTCTGATTGCTTGCAGGGGGCATTTGAACTTGAAAAGGTTCTCACTTCTGCTACAGCATGGGTCTCACAGTGGCTGGAGAACTTTATTTCAGATAAAACTCAATTTTTTTCAGCCAATCATTATTGCAAAATTTAGACCTTCCTATATTTATGAACGGTAATGTACTCGATGAGTCATCTACCCTTGATCTTCTAGGATTAACTCTTACTTCTGATCTTTCTTGGAAACCTTATATCAAATCTGTTGCAAAATTAGCATCTGCTAAAGTTGCATCTCTTTATCAAGCTCGACACTTTCTAACTCTGGATTCTATTCTCTATCTCTATAAATCTCAAATCTGTCCTTGTATGGAATACTGTTGCCATATCTGGGGCGGATTTTCTAATGATGCCCGTTCTCTTTTAGACAAGGTGCAAAAACGCATTGTAAACATAGTTGGACCTGCTCTTGCAGCCAACCTACAACCTTTGTCATATTATCGTAATGTTTCTTCTCTTTCTTTACAAATACTATAACTGGCACTGCTCTAAAGAGCTAGCGTCTCTTGTGCCATCTACTAAAATTCATTCTCATGTTACTCGTCATTCAATTAAGTGTCATCCTTTTTCTGTTACTGTTCCTAAGTGCTCCAAAAACTCTTATTTGTCTAGTTTTTTCCCTCCTACATCAGTTCTTTGGAATTTGCTTCCTTCATCTTGCTTTCTTGATTCATATAGTTAGTAATCTTTTAAGTCGTCTGTCAATTGTTATCTTGCTCTACAATCTTCATCTTTTCTCTTCAAGTAACTTCCAACGCTAATTAGTGGTTGCTTGCAGCCTTGTTGGAAGCAAAGATGTTTAAAAAAACAAAAATTAAAAAAACAAAAATTTGGCAATAAATTAGAGTAGCATATTTTAATTTTAAAAACTTTTCAGTCAAGTTTCATTTAAGGAATAATTTGAAAATACTTAAAATGCACCTCAGACAAAGCAAAAAGAAAAAATAAAACAAAACCAAAAAAGTATGCAAAAAATAATCAAGATAGCATATTAGAAAGAGATAAAAAGGCAGAAGTAAATAATGAAGTCAATGATCTTAAGAAAACATACACCAATCTGTTTAAAAATAAAAGAGGAAACAAACTCTGACCCTGACTACACTTTAAAACTGAATAAAGAAGTAAATGAATATAGGACATCAATCAAAATATATCAACACATGTAAGTAACATTGATGCAAGTAAAGCGTTTGATAAAGTAAATAGATCATGATGCACAAATTAATAAGAAAAATTAGCGGTGTAATTATTTGGGTATTCTGACTGCTAATTAGCATATGTTTTTAGAGAAAATGATCATTCAAACATCTTTAAAACACAAGTTGAAGTCTAATAAGTAGTTTCTATATCTCCTTAGTCATTTTCGATCTGTGATGAAGATATGATAAGCAAAATTGAAAACATGAACTTTGAAACCAAGATAAATGGAATGTGTTCATTTATGTTTTTATTAGTATTTATTAGTTTATTAGTGTCATGTACATGGTTTATTAGTGTTGAGTTTACAACATCTAAAAACTTAAAATAGTTAAATCTTACTGTCAAAAGATAGAAATAATTTTTTTTTGTTTTTATATGTTTTTTTAAGTTTTCCAACAATAAATCGAGTATTTTATTTTAGTTTTTTGAGTATTGTATATTTTTCTTTTTAAATATAACCTATATGGTTTTTAATGAATATAATAATAATAATAATAATAATAATAATAATAATAATAACAATATATATATATATATATATTTACATATATATATATATATATATATATATATATATATATATATATATATATATATATACACAAATACCTTTAAACAAACAGCTTTAGGAAATTTGGCACCAAATCCAATAGGAGGAGATGTTAAGCACATTAATTCATACAGTTTGTCATTTGGGATGTATCCTCTAATAAATAAATTAAATATTTCAAAATAAAAATAAAATAAACTTTTTTTTAAAAACACTTTGAAATAAAAAAAAAATATATAAAAACTTTTTTTTATTTTATTTAAAGTTTTTTGAGTTGCTGTTAGTTACATACGTTGCCTGAGGATCAAATTGTGACCAACAGCTAACAAAATCTTTTAAATCTTGTAAACACATTATAGAGTTATCACGAGTTAAATATTCAAAGTTATCCATGATTACTGCAACAAACAAATTGAGAAGCTAAAAATAGAAAACTGTGATATAAAAAAAAATCACCTGCCATGGAACTCTTTAGGAAAAAAAAAATTTATAGATATTGATAAATATAATCACCACGAAAATAATAAACAGATTCTGCTACAAACTTGGGAAAGTATTTATGACAAAGAGCTTATAAAAAATGTATGCTTCTTTTGGCCACCACCCCGGCCACCTCTTTTTATCTATTATTTATCTTGCCATTTAAACCTCTTGTCTATCTATTAGACAAAGATGGGCAATAAGTATACTTACAGTACCGACAGAAAGTTTCCAGGCCACTTCAATATTTTATCTAAACGTGCCAATATATAGCTAATATTTTTGTTCTAAAGATGGCGCTGATGTTGAAATAACTTTTGGTGCAAATGACTGGTTTTTCCAGCAGGACAATGCGCTTTGTCATAAGGCAAGGACTGTGATGGACTGGTTTCAGGCGAATAAAGTTGATGTAATGAACTGGCCTCCTCAGTCTCCTGATCTGAATCCTATAGAACATTTGTGGGAAATTTTATTTGAGAAAATTAAAGTCAAAGAATGCTACAGAACTGTTTATATTACTAGAAACTGAATGGAATAATATTTCTGCTGGCTGTTGTGTGGGTCTTGTTCAATCAATGCCAAAGCGCATTGCTGCGATGTTGAAAGCCAGGGGTGGATATTCCAAATACTGATGAAATTATTTAAAATACTCATGAATGTTTTTGATAATAATAATTGTAAATTATATTTAACATAATGTTGTACATCTTATTTTTGCTGCCTTATGCTGTAAATATACAGTGGTCTGGAAACTTTCTGTCGGTACTGTATATGTCAGATATTGAATGTTGGACATATAAACTCTATCTCTACAAAACTTTTCTTTTTTTTTTTTTTTCTTAGGTTTAACAACTTATTTTAATTTCACTATTATTTTTTTCTTTAAATAATCAGTTCTGTAAACTTAATAAAGTTATTATGAATTCTTAAACAAATGAATCACTTAATAAAGTTATTATGAATTCTTAAACAAATGAATCACTTGATAAAGTTATTATGAATTCTTAAACAAATGAATCACTTAATAAAGTTATTATGAGCTCTTAAACAAATGAATCACTTAATAAAGTTATTATGAATTCTTAAACAAATAAATCACTTAATAAATTTTCTATTTTAGATAATTTAGGATATTATTTTTAATTTAAACTCCTTAAAAAAAATCTCTTAAAAAGTCTATAACACAATTGCGAAATCAGCCAAAGTTATATTTTATTATTTAAGCTGCTTAGGTCGCAAGCATATTTACCATTATTATCTAACTAATAACTAACTTTTTTATGTTAAAACTACTTTTATTATTTATTTTTATCCAGTGCTTTTTTATTTTTTATTTTTTAGAATCTTTTTGTATAGAATTAAGCTTTATATTTTGTCAAAAACTTTTTGCTTTATTATTGATTGCATGCAGCCAAGTTAAAAGTGAATTAAAAAAAAAAAAGAATCAAAACTAAAAAATTATTATATAAAAAAAATATTTATTACTTACAAAAAACCTTGAGAGAAACATATATGAAATAAAATAAATTCGAGCCAGCATAGTATTACCGCATGGAACATTTGAATGTATTAAATATCTTTCATCGCATTTGGCATTATCATAACATTCACTCATTATTTCACTCCAATTATCACCAGAAGAACACCTTTAATAATTTTTAACTTAGTTTTTTATTTCTTTTAAAGAATAAGTAAAAATAAAATAATAAAAAACTTGAAAATATAATAAAAAACATAAATATCAAAGTAGAAGTAACATAGATTTAAAAATATTATAAAAAACATAAATACCGAAAAAGAAGTAATATTGTTTTAAAAATGTCACAAAAGTTATTCATCTCATTTAGCTGATTGGTCTTCTCTAACTTGATGTTGCCAAACAACTAAAATTGAAACTTCATAAATTGGCAATATTCATATATTTGATTAAGACACATGTATATTTAAAATTATTTATCTAAAATTGTATATTTAAAATTATATACTTTTTATATAATTTTTTTTTTCTATGATAAAACAAAAACAGAATAAGCAAAACTACCTATATAAACTTATATTTTAAATTAAAAAAAAAATTTAACTAAAAAAGAATAAATAATAGTTAGTATTTTTTATAAGAAGAAACTTTAAGGACCGAATCAATTTTTTTCATATTATATATATATATATATATATATATATATATATATATATATATATATATATATATATATATATATATATATTTATATAATATGAAAAAAATTTCATATTATATAAATATATATATATATATATATATATATATATATATATATATATATATATATATATATATATATATAATATAAATATATTATATATATATATATATATATATATATAAATATATATTTATATAATATGAAAAAAATTTCATATTATATAAATATATATATATATATATATATATATATATATATATATATATACATATATATATATATATATATATATATATATATATATATATATATATATATATATATATATATATATATATATATATATATATATAATATATATAAGTTACGTAATGTTTAGTTATATATTATTTTTATTATTTTATAGTGATATTTTGGCTAATATAGTATCAGAAATTATCAAACTGAAAAAACAAATTACATTATACAAATTCCTAAAGAATTTAACAAAAATGATGTCATTGCAATTTAACAGATTTAGACCTGTTTAGTTTAACAAAATGTGATCTCTAATGGTGACATCATTTCATGCAATCTTGAATTGCATCTAATAATATATATATATATATATATATATATATATATATATATATATATATATATATATATATATATATATATATATATATATATATATATATATATATACATATATATATATATACATATATATATATACATATATATATATATGTATATATATATATGTATATATATATATATATATATATATATATATATATATATATATATATACACATATATACATATATATATATATATATACACATATATACATATATATATATATATATATATATATATATATATATATATATATATATATATATATATATATATATATATATATATATATATATATATATATATATATATATATATATATATGTATATATATATATATATATATATATATATATATATATATACACATATATACATATATATATATATATATATATATATATATATATATATATATATATATATATATATATATATATATATATATATATATATATATATATATATATATACACACGAAAGACAAAGACTCCGAAGACCTGATATTCAGGGAAAAATATAGACAAAAAAGAATTTTTGGAGTTACAGATCTAGATTATTGCGATAACAATTAGCTGAAAAAAAAGAGTTTTATCAGAGCCCCATACAGTTGAAGAAGAGAGAATCTTTTCAAGCTCAAATGCATCCTGTAAGCAATCAGAGAGTGTTGGCTTCTTATCAAGAATAATTGATGTATCATCAGCAAACAATGCCACCTTAGATTTGAGAATTTCTTGGAGATGTAAACTAGAAAAAGTTTATGTAAACTAAAAAAAGTATAGGGAGTTAATGTAAACAAAAAAAAGTATAGGGCCAAGGATAGAACCTTGAGGAAACCCTGAAGTTACAGTAAATGAAGATAAGAGCTGTCCATCAAGAATAATTTATATATTATAATTGGTAATGAAGGATTCAATAATCTTAAAAAATTTCCCTAATACACCATAAGAAGAGAACTAATGGGGAAAACCAGCATGACAAACTTTATCAAAGACTTCAAAAATGAGATAAGAATGACTGCCTTAACCTGTCTATCTAATTCACAATAAAGCTTATAAGTTATTACGGTTAACAAATCAACAGTAGAACAAGAAGATCAGCAGTAGAACGCAATCAGTAGAACGCAAATCAGCAGTAAAACAAGAAGATTGATGATCAGAAAGTAAATTAATAGATTTACGATGAAAAAATACGTGTTTTTTAATTAATACTCAAAAACCTTTTTGTGATAGGAAAAAGACTAATAGGGCAGTAGTTAGACAAGGCAGATCACTTTGCAGAATTTTTAAAAATAGGGATAGCAGATACCCCTTTCTAGCAAGCTAGAAATCAAGACCCTGATAAGTATTTGTTAAATAGTTTTGAAAGTATAGATGACAGCTTTGGAGAATGCTTCTGCAAGATTATAACAGTTATGCTTTCGTGACTACATGCTGTGGAAGAGTCTAAGCAGGAAATCACTTTAGATACAGAAGCTAGAGTAATAATAATGTGAAACAATGGATCAACCTGTTTGTTGTTGTATTAGGTTGGATGTGATTAGTCGAACCCAAAAAAAAAGATCAATGAAAGGTTTATAACAAAAAATTCAACATTGTCTTTAGGTGAGGTAACAAAATCTGAACCACTCAAGAGAAGTGGAATGAACAGTTTTGTCCTTATTATACTGTTAAGATTCTCCAGAAGTCTCAGCCTAACTTAAAATAAAACATAAGATTTCGAAACTTTTACATCAGACAAACCTTTTTACAATGGTTTCTAGCAATAGTAAACAGATGTTTGTTTTATGGGGAATAGTTCTGGTGAAATATATGGGAGTAATAAGAAAACCATTGGAAATTGCAGCAGCACAATATGAGGAAAACCATGAAGAAGAGTGAGGCCTAACTAACATGAAATAGTTGATAAAAAATAAAAGATTCAATGTCAGTCTGAATCCAAGAAGTTACATAAGAAGCACATTTGTCAGCAAGAAGACAAAAGATTTTTACCCGAAGGCCATCTTAAAGAAAGTTATGGAAAGAGCCCCATTCATAGTTGTAAGGTAGTTGTAAGAGATATGATAGAGAAGTTGATGATTAAGAAGAATGAGACAATAGTTTTAGAGAGATCAAACTATGATCAGAAGCACCTAAGGGTGCTTCTGATTCATTTGCAAAAGTTTCTGTTCACAGTTCGGTGGTCATTTCCAAATGCCGACCCTAATTCCAAGATTTGGTATGTATATATATATATATATATTATATATATATATTATATATTTTTTACATATATTATATATATATAAATATATATATATATATATATATATATATATATATATATATATATATATATATATATACATTATATATATATATAATATATATATATATATTATATACATATATTATATATGTATATATAATATATATATACATACATATATATAAATATATATATATATATATATATATATATATATACATATATATGTATAAATATATATATATATATATATATATATATATATATATATATATATACATATATATATATATATATATATATATATATATATATATATATATATATATATATATATATATATATATATATATATATATATGTATATATATATGATTATATTTAAAAAAGTAAAAATTTTTTTGATAATGTTTAATCAAAATTTTTTAAAGATACAAAATCACATCAATTACTGTTTTGTAAGATTATTTTTACAATTAAGAATTGCTTTGATTCTATAAGATATCAAGTCAACTATATTAATGCAAACATTAATGAGAGTTGAATGAAATCATTTCTTTGATTTTTGTAAATAAATTAGCATGATAAGTAAACATGATGAATATTTATGGTCAACATGTTCCCCTAAATGATCAATTGTATTTTATCTCAATTATGTCAGTTGATTGGAATGATTGGGATAGCCACTTCAAAACGCAAACTTGAACCTATTTGCCTGTGTGTTTAGGATTGTGATCCTTATTATATATCAATCCAAGAGGCATTTCAACTTTTGGATGAGGTAACATAGTGATCTTACATATGTCTAGTTCCAATATATCCTCAGAGTGGATTAACACTGCCCTCACTGAAAATAAATTTCCAAAGTATTTGTTAACAAAAACTTAAACTGCTTGTTTAGATGAAGACTGATGTCCCACTGAAATAGCATGCCACCGAGGGCTTCAGTACATACATCGACTGACAAATAGCCTGACTCGCAGAGGAGTGCTGCTACATTGACTGATGGTTTGGGATGGGGCAGCTACCTTTTTTTTCTTCTTTTTCTAAAAACGCTATATGCTATAAAGATAAGCAAAACTAGTGAGTAAATGGTTATCTATATAGGCTCTAGAAGATATATATAAATATATATATATATATATATATATATATATATATATATATATATATATATATATATATATATATATATATATATATATATATATATATACATATATATATATAAATATATATGTATATATAAACATATAGATAATAAGAAAAATTATAATTAAAAAAAAATTTTTTTTTCACCTGTATTCCCATAATAGCATATACATAAGTGGTAATAAGAATCAATACAATAACATAAGCTAATTTCTAAAAAAAATAACTATTATATTAAGAAATATCACATTATTATAAATTTTTATTTATATATCAATTTTTATAACTCAAATTTTTAGTTCAAGTAAATAAACTTTTTACAAAATGTTTTTCAGTTTTTAAAATTTAAAAATTATAAAAATATTATTAAAAATAATTACTACTTAACAAAAGATAAGATAATTCAAAATAATTAAAATTAAAAATTTTTTACTTTGAGAGATTTTAAAAGTGTCCACAAAATAACTTCAACGCTTGTTTGTCTTTTCAAAAGCTTTAGTAGACGTGCAACCCTGAACAACCGAAACATCGTAGGATCTAACCATGCAATCTTAAAGAACTAAATATTCAGCAATGTTAAATAAGTAAAAAGAAAATGGTTTATTAAAATAAAAAAGTTTTATTAAAACATTTTGTAAGGGAAGGATTCATTAGATGCTTTGTAGAAAAAAGAATGATTCATTAAATGTTTTGTAGAAAAAGGATTAATTAGGAAAATATTTTGTAGAGGAAGGATTAATTAGAAATATGTTTTGCAAAAAAAAGATTAATTAAGAAAATATTTTGTAGAGGAAGGATTTATTAGAAAAATATTTACAAAATTACATTATATATTACATTAATGCATTAAAAGTTCAGAAATTAAATTTTTTTAACATGAACTATAAACCTTTACCTTGTGATCAAGTTTTGTTTTGCTATTTCTAATGACAAAATATTCATTTTCGAGTTAAAATATTCAAGTTAATTCATCTCAATTACTTTATTTATTATCTTATCAATTATCTCAATAAATTTGAATAATTATATCTTATAATTAGTTTGAAGTTACATATATTTAATCGCTTATTTATAGTTTCTATTTATTAACACTTGTTTCATAAAATTTGAGACTAACTTGAATTAGCAATATTTAATTAGTAAGCTTGATAAAATAATTAGTATTTGGTATCAAATGAAAGCTCTATCTTTTCTCTTTCAATTAGCATATAAATTCTCTGATTATTTTTTATTTAAATAACAATTTAAAATGCCAAATCAACAAGCCCTAAAAAGTTGTGTGTATAATTTTTATAAAAAAAAACATGAAGATGGAAAACACGTTGTTTTGAACCATTTCAAGATGAAGGGCTACTTAAAAGCTACAATTTATAGATATATGAACAGTTACGATCAAAGTAAACTATTGGGTCAAGAAGCTGGAAGTGGAAGAAGGCCTACTCTTAATACACAAAAAAACCGCATCAAATTAAAGAAAAAGTTTAACAATTGAAGAGGTGTGTCACTTTCAAAGGCTTCTAGAAGACTTGGTGGTAGCCAAAGCACCATTGGACGAATCTTAAAATTCTTTAAAAAGCCTATTCTTTGTTATAAAATGATAAAAAAGACCAAGCAGAACTCCTGAACAGAGGCTATGGGGTCGCCGAAAATTTGGTCAACTTTATTCCAAATATCGCAACCATGAATTTATTATTGACAATAAGTCATACTTTACTCTAATAGCACGTTGGCTGGTGATAATACATATTATTCAAATGATCAAAAAGTGACACCAAACATTGTTAAGTATTATTATGTTGCAAAATTTGAAAAAAAATTACTTGTATGGATGGCATACATTGTTCCTTTTGGCTAAGTGGTAAAACAAGAGATCTATTTAAAAGACTGTTTACAAAAGCGCTTGCAACCTTTTACTAATAAATATTATCGAGACACCAAGTATATCTTTCGGCCCGATACAGCAACAAAAGCTGGTACACGGTACCAATACCAGACTTGATCAAATTCGAAGATATGGAGTTTTGTGATAAATATATTTTTATTTCCTGTTCTGCATATTTAATTATAAGAACATAAATAAAAATATTTTTTATCGTGTTTCTTTAAGTTTTTATTCAAGTTTATAGCCAGTTTAAAATGGCACACGTGTTATATATATAAAAGAATATCAAGGTTAATATATATAAAAAAATTAATTTTGGTCAATTTTAACTGAGTTTTATTTGAGTAAAAATTCAACAGCCATTAAGAGTCCCATGTAACTGACAGAGGGATCATATTGTTTTAAAGATAGTGGTTGTATTTTTTTTCAATAATAATGATGCTCAATGCAATTCACATATTTTTAAGAATATAAGGAAACTGTAAAAATTATTGTTTATTAAAATAGCTGTATACTGATCATGTTAATGAGATAAATAAAACACATTCCGTGTTTTAGTTACACATTCTTGCGATTTATTTGATAGTAGACTACTTTAGAATACTTTGCTCACAAGAATACTTAGTAGAATACTTTGCTCACAATCATAAGGTACAAAACTACATACACCTCTGGAAGTGCTGTGTTTAACATATTTTTCTACACATGGGCCCTATTTAATAAAGTTCTTCTTTTGAAGTTGAGGGTTAAAAAAAATTTGAAAATAAAATTGAAAAATAGAATTTGAAGGATTTGAAGTCTGATGATCATATTAAGTCTGTGTGGAAAAGTAAATAATAAATCCTTTTGCTCTTTTATGATTAAGAAACTTTTTATCATTTAAACAATGCTTTTAAATTGTCAAATTTTTCATAATGTCATTTGATTCGGATGTTTTGCTCAAAATATAAAAGTAAACCATGAAATATCATCTAGTGTTTCTATTTAAAGACAAGCAATAACACTCTTTAATATGCTATCACAAGCATAAAGAGTGTTGTCGTCAGCAAAGTTACAGATTTCTGAGTCTTTAATAAATAAGAAAAATCATTTATGAAAATATTAAAGAAAGTTGAACAATATTGAACCTTATGGCACACCAGGTTCCACGTCTAAAAAATCTAAAAATGATTATTCTAATATTATTCTCTGTTTGCAAACAATAACAAAAGTTTGAGGTTTTTATTGGAAAACCTTCTAACTTGGCAATAAGCATATCATAAAGAATTAAATCATTTGCATTTGACAAATCCATTAATATTGAACCAACGACACCTCCTTTATCCAAACATTCTTGCCACTTTTTAAGTAAATTAAAAAGAGCATGCTGTATACCGTACCCTCTCTTAAACAGTTTGTTAAATAACCATTTCAAAGAGAGAGCTAGCAGAATACTTATTGGGTGGTAGTTAGACATTTAATGGGTCATTTTTTTTTGTTAAACACAGAATGACATCAGCATTTTTAAAAAAGGAAGGGAATTCACCTTGAGATATACTATTGTTTATACAGGAAGTGAGACTTTCTCTAAAATTTATGACATAAATTTTAGCACAAACAATCGCATATCTTCATTTTTCTTCTTCAAAATATTTAAAGAATTGATTATTTTAGTAATGTCATAGAAAGTATTTTGATTTATTACTATACGTTTGTGTTCTGTCTGAACTTTGGTGTGGTGTTGATTTACCCATAAGTTACTATATGTATGTATGTGTTCTGTGTGAATCACTGGTGTGGTGTTTGCTCACCTATAAGTTACCTTATGTATGTTTTTGCTTTGTGTAGTGTTAGCTCAATTACTAAATAGTGACTACAACTATATATTTTACATACGTTCACCTTAATATCTAATATTCCTTTAGATATGTTTATCTTAATGCATTTCCTAATTATCCTGTTCAATGTTTTAAAGTACTGCATACAAAAGTAATTTTTTAAACTACTTTTGGTTAGTTTCAGGTTTAGGGTCATCACTATCACACTGCTACTGTTAACATTGATTTCCATTTTCTTATTCTACAGCTGGAATGCTAACTGCTGTAACTGAATGGTTGTGCATTAGATTGAGTGTGATAAATTTTACTGTGCATTAGATTGAGGCAGCAATACAAGGTTATTATAGAGAGAATTATGATCATCTCTATTATAAGCAAGGTATTTGAGTTTTTGTTCAACAAATTTGTAACATCCATTTTTAGTCTAATAGCTTACTCTCTGAGAATTAATATTCATTTCCATTTTCTCATTCTACAGCCGACTTGCTAACTGCTATAACTGAAAGGTTTTACTGTGCATTAGATTGTGGCAGCAATACAATACAAAAGGTTGTTGCTCTCTGACAATCAATAGCAATTGACATATCAAAAGCTTTCAATAAAGTTTGGTCTTCTTCATAAGCTCACTCTATATTTGATGTATTTAGAAACATTTTTGAGATTGCTAAATCATTTTTTTCTAATCACTTTCCTAATGTCATACTCAAAGGCTATCACTCCTCTTCATTTTCAGTTACTTCTGGGGTACCTCAAGGTTCTATACTTGGTTCTGTTTAATTTTTAGTGTGCATAAATGATCTTCCTGATCTTCTCTTTAAATCTAGAGTCTTAAATTTAAATTTGCTGACAACTCAAGTTTATCGTGTCTTAAAAAAATGTCTTAACTTTTCGATCGCTTAGAACAGGCAGCCAATGCAGTGGTTTGTGAAATTTAACTTGAATACAATTTTTGCATCTGCTACGGTTGCTTCTGCTCATCATTTTTATACTCCTGATTCCATTCTCTACCTCTTCAAATCTCTTATTTGCCCGTGTACAGAAAAATGTCATATATGGGTTAGTTCTTCTAATGATGCTCTTTCTCGTCTTTTCTGTGGTTTCTGAGGCAAGCGCACTGACTTAAAAGCGCACTAACCACTGTGCTACTGCTGCTCAAATATATATATAATTGTAAATTATAGCAATTATATTGTATTATCTAGTTTAGCTAGATAATACAATATATTGATGCTACAATAGATTGCTTTTCCTCATTCTGCTTGTCATATTCTTCCTCCTGATTCCATTCTCTACCCCTGCAAATATCTTAATTGCTCCTGTATAGATAACAGTTGTCATATTTGGGCTGGTTCTTCTAATGATGCTCTTTCTCTTCTAGACTAGGTCCAAAAACTGCAAATGTAATTGGACTTGCTTAATCTTATCTGCTTTATTGCATGCTCTAGAAACTTTCATTTGTTTTTTATCCCCGCTTTTATCTAGTTTTTAACCCTTTGGAACTCTCTCAATAATATTATTTTTCATGACTTATACAAGCTAAAACTTATCAAGCAAGATTTATATGAGAACATACATAGGAGTTACTACATTTTCTATCATATTTTTAACTAACTACTTTCGTACTAACCACAAAACATTTTAACTTAGTATCAATGTTTATCAGTGGTATTTACTTATTATATTTAAAAGACATATTTCAGCCATAAAAGAAACGGTAAGTTACTCTTAATTATTAATTACTATTTTCTATTTGCTTTGTGTTATTTCTACACATTAAAATTGTTTATTTTAATACATGCGCATATGTGCATGTGTACAAGTTTGTCTCTTCTAAAGTAAATGTACATTATATTTATATGTGTTTACATATTGGTTTATGGTCACATTACGCGCATCACTCACCACCTTCACGAGATCACTAAGAATGTTGGAGCTGTATTAAAAACTGGGATAGGGATTGGGTTTTTTGGCTTTAGTAGTGTAGTCCTAATATATTGCAATATTGACTAGCATGACGTAGTGTGCAGATAGTGAGATCTGTTGCAAAGACACGCCCCTGACAAGTGACGTTTGTGCAGGTCTACTTATTGTTTTTGTTTGGTGCAATTATTTTAGTAATGGATACCATTAATAAACTAGCAGATTTATATTGACTTGTTTTCTCATAGATCATTGTTTTATCATTTGCTAAAAATGACTAGAGTGTGAGAAATGGTTCCTCTTTTCCTGAGTTGCTAACTTTTACTCCTCTTACTAAATAGTCTTTACATTAATTTTTTTTTTTTTTTACCTAAATGAGATTATCTACAATTGGTTTTTATTTTCACATCTCTCAGGTCTACACAACTGGATGGCTCAATTGGTCATTTTTTGCGATCATTTTGTCGCATAAACAAATAAAATATATTGTTATTTTGTTAAATTTTTTCACAGTGATTGTCTGCATGAGCTAATTTTTTTTTCTTCCATATATCAGCACTTTGGAATTTGCTACCTACATTCTAATTTCCTTATTCATATAATTTACTGTCTTTCAAGTATTTAACTAATCACTTAAAATACCTAAAAATAATAAAAATTTTTACAAAAAGAGGAAACTAAAAATCTTACAAAAGTAAAAACAATATCGAGGAATCCACCTAAAATCACAGCAATGTCGAACAAATTCCAAAAATCTTTAAAGTAGTTCTAAAATAAAATAAAAAAAAAACATTGTTTATAAAACTGTTTTTTATTTTAAATTTTTCTGGCAGATTGCTAAATGCAAAATACCATTAAAACTATGAAAAAAAAAAATTCTTTAGCAAGATGCTTAACTAATAAAAAAATAAATTTTTTGATTTAAAGAGCCATGTGTCTTGACAAAAAAAGGAATTAAAAAGGAAAAGCCCATGGGATTGGAAAATAAAACATTGATGGAATACTAATAGTTGATAATTACAAATTGTATAAATAGTATTGAAGTTGATAATTACAAATCACATTACAAAGCAAAGTTTATTTGTTTATTTTTTTTGTGTAGTTTTTATATAGTTGGAGGTACTTTAGTTACTTTAGCTACTGAGCTCACACTAAAGTTGTAAGTTTACACTACATCACACTCACTCTACATCACACTATATCACACTACATCACACCACAGTTCACACTACAGTTCACACTACAGTTAACACTACATCACACTACAGTTCACACTACAGTTCACATTACAGTTCACACTACAGTTCACACTACAGTTCACACTACATCACACTACAACTTAAACTTACAACTAGTGTGATGAGCTCATGCTACATCACGTTGTAAGTTTAAGTTGTAGTGTGAGCTCTAACTATAAAACTTACTCTCACGTTAATCTCTAGTAGTTTATTAGATTTTCTAAAATATCATGTTTTAAATTAATGTTTGTGTGAATTAACTCCTTTTAACTACTTAAGGTCAGGTCAGATTTAGAATCATTACGATTACCTTGTTACTGGTAACATATAACCCAGTACTACCTGCCCCATGTCCTGCTGCCTTGTAGGGTGTGCTTTTTAAAGCAAAGGCTACAAGAAACAAACTTCAACTTAAAATTCCCTGCTATGGGCTCTTGGTTGAGTAAAAGCTAGAGATGGTGTCTCCATATAAATACTCATCTTGGGCAGATGTTAACAACATCCAGCTCAAATTCCCCAGCCATAGGGCTCTTGGTTAAGAAAAGGCTAAAGATGGTGTCTTGATAAAAATACTTATTTTGGGCAAATGTTAACTGCATCCAGTTACTGTCTTGTAGGTGGTCTTCTTGGCTAAGAGGGGTAAGCAGAACAATACTGTTAAACCGCCTCAAACTCATTCTTCATCAATTAGGCTGAAGTAGAAGTAAACCTGTGTTACATTGTTTTCTGCCTAAAATGATAAATGCTTGATCTTTTTGACTCAACTTAAAGGTTTTTGCTTGTGCCTCCTTGATAGTGGCAACCCTTCTTGATATTTCTTAATGAGGGTACAGCTCTAAAACTTAATTTAAAGGTTCTGAGACCAGTTGGTAGTAAGATTCCTGAACTCTGTGGTAGCTCTCAGAGAGGCTAATTCCATCAACAGCTGTAAAATATCAGAGTATTAGGATTGCCGTGCTAATGCTTTTGGAGCGCATTGTTGAGGCCGCATAAAAGACCCTATGTTATGAAGTAAATTAACAAGACTGAGACAACTGCAGAGCTTATTACTTAGGAGACCGTGCTATGAATGAGTCAAGTTCTCTTTAAACTTGGATCATGCGAAAAATAGCCCAAAAAATGAAACATAAAAAAACGATCCCCATCATCTAACTGTTTTAATATATCTTTTACAAATATTCATGGATAACAAATATTCATGGATGGCAACTTTTTATCAGTTCCATCTTACCTTTTTCAAAATTCACAAGACTTGTTTGCTCTTAGTGAGACTAATTTAAGATTAGCTATTCTTTCTTAGATATCAGTGTTAATGGGTACTGTCCTTTGACAAAGACTCCAATAGTCACATACATAGCTTGAGGGTATACATACACATCAAATCACCTATTTGTCATTAAATCAGGTTAGAATTTTTTTTATGTGCTTCCACTTAAAACCTTTTCACTATCACCTTTTTCTTTGTTTGTTATTGTTCTCCTTCTTTCCAAGTCTACACTCTTTTAGATATAATTTCTGATCAAATTGATCATGGTTTCTCTATTTACCCCTCTGCCAATATTGTTGTTATTGGTGACTTAAATGCTCATCACACTGAATGGCTTGGTTCTAACGCCACAGACCCTGCTGGTATTCAACCATATAACTTCTGCATTTCTCAACCTTTTATTCAAACAGTTAACTTTGTGACTTGTTTTCTTAAAAACCCTAATCATTTACATTCACTTCTTGATTTAAGTTTTGTATCTGACCCTAGCTTGTGTTTAGTATTAGACCCTAGCTTGTGTTTAGTATTAGACCTTAGCTTGTGTTTAGCATTAGACCCTAGCTTGTGTTTAGTATTAGACCGTTAAGTGCACTACTTACTACTACCATAAAACTGATTACCATAAATACTACCATACTACTGACATAAAACTGAAGAATTCTTTTTATGATTTTATTTGTAATAGTCCTTTGGCTGATTATTTTTTTCTGTCAGCTGATAAATATGCCCCCAACAAAACCTCGAGGACAATGGCAGAAATTGAGCTTTATTCCTTCTCTTCGGTTCCAAGTCAAGCCTCATTCTACTCCATGGTTTTCATCTTTTTATGCAGCTGCTTTGTTTAATTGTAATTATTTTTTTCATCTTTTTCAAAAGAACAACTCTCTTGAGAACAAAAGGTTATTTACTATTGCAAAAATACTATGTAAAAAAGTGCTGTTAGATGCTAAGCTCCATTACTCTCTAAATCTTGTAATTTATCTCAGAAGTCAGAGACTTTTGGGAAATCTTTAACAGCGTCATTAACAGAAGTAGGTCTAACATCTCTCATTCATGTGACTAATCTTATTACCTCTCCCAAAAATAAAGCAGTACTGTTTAAAAAGAACTTTTCTTCAAATTTGACTCTGAAATCTTATGGCCATTCTCTTCCTTCCATTCCAATTAAACAGGCTAACCCATTATTAAATGTTTAAACCATTTGAAAAAGTCATATCTTAATTAAACTCTTCTATGGCTTGTGGTCCAGACAATGTTCCTGTTATAGTCTTACAAAAGTGTTTTTGTTTCAGAACTCTCTTGAATTCTCTCTAAACTAATAAGTGCTTGACTTATTTTCCTGTCTGCTGGATAATGGTATCTGTTGTTCCAATTTTAAAAAACTCTGGAGAACATTCAGACCCCTTCACTAATTGTTTAATCAGTCTATTAAATGTTATTAGCAAGGTCTTTGAGTCTTTAATTAATAAATTTCTTACACCCCATCTTGAATCAAATAACTAACTGTCAAACAATCAATACAAAATAACATCAGTCAAAATATTTAATTAGAAACTTCTGACTTGAAAATACTTTTTTAATCGTATAATGTGTTGATATTATACAGACTAAATTTAATTACTAATGATGAAATTTGCTTTAAAATAATACAAATGATGTGAGCTGTGTTGTTTACTTCAATTTTAGTTTCTACTAATAGTAGAAACTGAAATTAAAGTAAATAACACAGCTCCTCTCCCTCTACAGCTTACTTCATAACTGCTGTGACTGAAAGAGTTTATTGTACATTAGATGGAGGCGGAGAAGCTAGGGCTATGGCTCTTGATTGGCAAAAGATTATATGGTGTAGCTGAGAAAGTTTTTCATATTATCAAATCGTTTCTTTTAAACCAGTTTATTAAAGTTTATTGGAGCTGCCAGTGGCTTATAGATTTTAACTCCAACAAAAATCAGTTATTTACTGCAAACAACTATTTCAATACTGTCGACATTCCTATATTAATGTATGGCAACCCTCTCACTGAGTCTTCTTATTTACAACTTCTTGGATTATTGTTTACTACTGACCTTTCATGGAAGCGATAAATACAATCGATTGCTAAATTAACATCCAATAAGGTGGCTTGTCTTAATTGTGCTTACCATTTTTTCACTTCTGATTCCATTTTCTTCTTGTGCAAATATCTTATTAGTCCCTGTATGGAATACTGTTGTCATATTCCAGCTGGTTTTTCTAAAGATGCTCTCTTTCTTCTAGACAAGGTATTTTAAATGTCTATCTGCTAAACTTGAGCCTCTTTCACATTGCTGTAAAGTTTTTTCTTTTTTCTAAAAATACTATCATGGTAGCTGCTCAAAGAAACTATCATCTCTAGTTCCAAAAATCTACAAATTGTCAACTGTTTCCTTGCTCTATAGCTCTATCCTTTTCCTAGTAACTCCTGACTTAATAGTGGTTACTTGTAGTCTTGTTGGGAGTGAATCGGAATTTAAAAATAAATGGAGATTTAAGAAGTTTAGAAATTTTTAAAATTTTTTACTGTTGTCTAAAAATTTGAGAGTATGTAAGAATATTTTCAAAAGAAGTTGGAATCCATAAATACAACTAAGATAAAAAAAACAACAAATTTACAGCACCATGAAAATAAAACTTGTTTAAAATTACTTGTTTAAAATTAAAGGGATTTACTTGTGAATTAGATGTCAATGAATATATCAAAATAAAGAAAAATCTATTCAAATGTCAAAAACAAATAAAAATTAAGATTCTAAACTTTTCTGGTGAAAATTTACAAACAAAAGATAAGTATTGTTAAAAAAAGGTATCATATATGATTTTAATATAAAGTATTACTAACATTTTGTTGCAACTAATGATTAATTGTCAGCTTTGAAGGATTAAAACTATTCAAAAATCAGTTCTTTAAGCTTTTCAGATTCATTGCCATAATAGAAAGCACTTATTTATTATTTTTAGTTAATAATTTATTTATAATTTCTAATTATTTATAGAGCAAATTTTCTTGTATTGTGTGAGTTTTATGGACTTCATATATGTGATGACAACACACATATAAAGCGCTTTTAGTTACTAATAGTTTAATTAATAACATTCATAAGAAAACCAGATAATTACCACTCTATATGCTATTATCTTTAGAAGAGCTTCAATTAAATACAGACTAGTAAATCCTCCATTAATTTTAACCAACAAATCTCTATAGTTGTGAGACATTCCTTTATACTAAAAAAAAAATTTATTCATAATAAAAGTAATAATAATAATAATAATATTTAGCCCTTGGAATTAAGAAAAATGAGGCCAGCAATTTATTGCCAACCTTACATCTTCAAGGTTGGCATCAGGTCTGCAAAATGAATTTAACACAAAGAAGTTACCATAAAACATAGAAATGAGGTTGACAATTTTTTGCTGACCACAAACACTTTAAGATTGGCAATTAGGTCGGCAATGCCAAATGTTGCTTTAATTCCAAGGGCTACAAAATAACAACAACAATAACATTTGTTTTAACAAGAATTTCTTCCTTGATAAAACAGAAATACCAAACAATCACTCTATATTTGTACAGTGTTTACCTTTTTCATAAACTACAGTAAATACTTAGTTGAGAAGTGGAAGAACTTCTAATACTTAGTATGTCCACCCTTAGCTAAACGCAGCAGTTCAATTCATTGAGGCATAGACTCGATAAGTGTCCACTGTGGAGAGATGTTATTTCAAGCATTTTGCAGCATGTTTTAAAGTTCATCCTGATTGCATTGTTTTTTACCCCTGATTGCCCTGAACAGGATTTCCCATACATGTTCAATGGGATTTATATCTGGCTCTAGGGTGGTCATTCCACTTGCTTAATACCCTTATCATGTAAGAAATTACACACTTGTTTAGCTGTATGGCAAGATCCATTATCATGTTGGAAGATAGCATGAAGGTAGCATGTGATTTCTTAACACTTGAAGGTATTGGTCTTGATTCATGTTACCTCTGCAATGGTACAAATGACCAACCCCATGGCAGGATATGCATCCCTAAACCATTAGAGATCCACTACCCTGTTTTACAGTGGGCGCTATGCAATCATGATGAAACCTCTCACCTTTTCTTCTTCTCATAATTACTCTCTTTATTCCACAAAATTCCACTGAGCTTTCGTCACTCCACAACACTTTTTTCCAATCTTCTTAAGTCCAGCCTTGATGAGCAGTTGCAAAGTCAAGCCTTCAGTGACAATGTAAGGCTGAAAGAAGTGGCTTCTTCACAGCTACATAAGCTTGAAGCCCACTTTTTGTAACTTATTGTGAACAGTTCTATCTGTAATATTGACATCATGATGATCAGACCTGAAAGTCTTCCACAGCAGAAGGGCAGTGTTTTTCGAAACTAAGGCGCACAATGGTCCGATCCTCTAGAGGTATTGTCTTCTTTGGCCGTCTACTTCTAGATCTATCTTTTACTTCCCCCTCTTTTTTTGTACTTCATCATTATTTTTGTCACTGTGTTCTGTAAAATCTTCATCTCAGATGTAACTTTGCTGTATCTTTTGTAACTCTCAGTAACTTTAGCTACAACTATCATTTACTCTAGACAAGACAGTTTCTCATTTCCAGGCATACTTGAATAATTGGCTGATAAATATATTAATTTTTAGTCAGTAGATCTATAATAAGACAGTTCAAGAATAGTTCAAGACTTGAAAGTTCAAGAATAGTTCAAGAATTAAAACAGCACATAAATATAAATAAAAAAGTAAATTCATTAATTGTTAATCATAGCAAACATAAATATCAAATAATAATTATTGTGCAACATATGGAAAACAACATTACGGTCAGTACAAACACTACACAACATCAATCAGTGTATCTCAATACTAAGAATGCTAAACTGTACAAAAATGACTAATGTGCACAGACTAATCATTTAAGTTAATAAAATTAAAACAATTCACTACATTTCACTGAATGAACTCTAAAACTAATATGGATGTAATTCTAGTCTGTCATACAAGTATTGAACAATGTGATAATTGTGATTCAAAATATGATTATTGATTATTAATAACTATTTGGAATAGTTAATCAAAATAATTTCACAATGGTTTTTACTATGCATCACATATAGAAATAATTCATTAAAAAATCATTATAAGTACATTCTGTAAAATGAACTAAATTTATGGTCAGACATGACTTTTTCTCTGCCACTGCGCGTATATATATATATATATATATATATATATATATATATATATATATATATATATATATATATATATATATATATATTCCTTACAACACCTATACAATTTAAAGCCTAACTAATCAATAACAAAAAAATTAAATAATTAAATAATATAATCCATTTTTTATAATTGAGATTTTTTAAATTGAAAATTATGGGGAAAAATTGCAATTGTATATTAAACTGGATTTTAAAACGCATACTAAAAGTAAATGGCATAAAAATTAAAAAATATAGTAAAATATGACTTTTATTTAAAAAAAATTTGTAAACTTTTTTTTTTGCAAAAAAAGAGCTTCAACTTTCAAGCTACAAATATTTTTAGAGAGTTTTTTTTCCAACTTCATAAAACACAAACAAATGTTTAACAAATGTTACTCAACAAAATCTATTAATTTTGAAGCTTTCTAGCAAAAAGACAGTAAAAAAAAGAAAAAAAGAAAAAGAATCAAAAAGCTTAGTTATCAAAATTATAAAAAACAAGGTTGCTTTGCCTACCTTTTTTTAGCAAAGTTGTGAATTACCGTATCTATAAGTATCTGTAAGTCTATATGTTTTGCAATGTCAGACTCAATGCTAAAGGTGATCTTTATGGTGATCCTGACTCATGACCTTAATATATCTTTAATAAGTTTAAGATTGCTGAAGCAATCTTAAACTTTAGGTTGATATTACTGTTGCTGGTGTTGTAAGAAATATCCTCAAACTAATACTGAGGTTTGGAAATATACTTTAGATGAAATAAGTTTAGCTTCATTTGCTCCACAAATCACATTTATTGTTAAAAAGTAAGATTAAGCTGGAGCAAGTCTTCTAAATTCAGCTTTACTCCCAAAAAGTGAGCTACATATGTTTGACTCTATCAACTCAATGTGACTATTTGGTGCCAGATATGCCATGATGGGAACAACCAATGATCTTAGATAGTATTTTCCATTTCTTTGGGCTAAAACTGAATAAGGTGTGTACCCTTTTCATAGTTCCAAGTAAGTTATGGCTTCCGGAATACCATTATCACATAAGCTAAGTGTGTAGCAGTACAAAAAGAAAACATAGCAGTTAGACACTGTTCTTTTATTATAGCTTGTGCTTCCTTATATTTACCTGACAGATTTTGTGCATTGTTATAACTTTGCACCTTACAATCAGCAAGTGGAATAGCATTACTTCTAATTTTTTTTTTAACCATTTAAGCAATTTCAGAACCTTTTTTGTAATTACAATTTACAAATTTCAAAAAATGTTCCAGGTTTTTATGTTACAACTCATGGTGAACAAGCAAAATACAAAATAATTGTTGTTCACTCAACATGAGATGAGTCTTTTGTGGAATCTAAAGCTATTGTATTTTGCGAAATTCTTTTTTTCCAAAACATGCTGCTCAACAAAATCCAAATATTCTGCAATAAATTAAATTTATGAATCATTTGAGAGGTAATTTACTCGCAGTTTTTTCCTTTTTTTGTGACTCAGGTATATTTAGAATGTATTTCTTTAAAATAAGGTCTCAATTATAAAGCAAATCTCTCAGATCTTTTGTTCAGATATTTTGAATCCTGGAAAGCAAGGCTATGTTCTTCTAAGAAAAGGATAATACCAATAATTTGACTCAAAATCTGGTCCCATTTTTCCGATTTTACTCTGATGTATTGATAATTTTATTTAATTGATGATTAAATAAAATTATCAATACTGCCTTGAATTGAAAAAAATTATTCTAATTCTTGCCATGTTAGAAAACATTCTCTATTTTTCATATCATGATCTGGAATCTTGTTACATAATTTGCGTCAATGTTGAAGAAAAGTTAAAATACTTGCCTTCAACAATTAATCTTATATAATTCAACATATAATTAATCTTATATAATACAACATATAATTAATCTTTTATAATACAACATATAATTAATCTTATATAATACAACATATAATTAATCTTATATAATACAACATATAATTAATCTTATATAATTCAACATATAATTAATCTTATATAATACAACATATAATTAATCTTATATAATACAACATATAATTAATCTTATATAATACAACATATAATTAATCTTATATAATACAACATATAATTAATCTTATATAATACAACATATAATTAATCTTATATAATACAACATATAATTAATCTTATATAATACAACATATAATTAATCTTATATAATACAACATATAATTAATCTTATATAATACAACATATAATTAATCTTATATAATACAACATATAATTAATCTTATATAATACAACATATAATTAATCTTATATAATACAACATATAATTAATCTTATATAATACAACATATAATTAATCTTATATAATACAACATATAATTAATCTTATATAATACAACATATAATTAATCTTATATAATACAACATATAATTAATCTTATATAATACAACATATAATTAATCTTATATAATACAACATATAATTAATCTTATATAATACAACATATAATTAATCTTATATAATACAACATATAATTAATCTTATATAATACAACATATAATTAATCTTATATAATACAACATATAATTAATCTTATATAATACAACATATAATTAATCTTATATAATACAACATATAATTAATCTTATATAATACAACATATAATTAATCTTATATAATACAACATATAATTAATCTTATATAATACAACATATAATTAATCTTATATAATACAACATATAATTAATCTTATATAATACAACATATAATTAATCTTATATAATACAACATATAATTAATCTTATATAATACAACATATAATTAATCTTATATAATACAACATATAATTAATCTTATATAATACAACATATAATTAATCTTATATAATACAACATATAATTAATCTTATATAATACAACATATAATTAATCTTATATAATACAACATATAATTAATCTTATATAATACAACATATAATTAATCTTATATAATACAACATATAATTAATCTTATATAATACAACATATAATTAATCTTATATAATACAACATATAATTAATCTTATATAATACAACATAAAATTAATCTTATATAATACAACATATAATTAATCTTATATAATACAACATATAATTAATCTTATATAATACAACATATAATTAATCTTATATAATACAACATATAATTAATCTTATATAATACAACATATAATTAATCTTATATAATACAACATATAATTAATCTTATATAATACAACATATAATTAATCTTATATAATACAACATATAATTAATCTTATATAATTCAACATATAATTAATCTTATATAATACAACATATAATTAATCTTATATAATACAACATATAATTAATCTTATATAATACAACATACAATTAATCTTATATAATTCAACATATAATTAATCTTATATAATACAACATATAATTAATCTTATATAATACAACATATAATTAATCTTATATAATACAACATATAATTAATCTTATATAATACAACATACAATTAATCTTATATAATTCAACATATAATTAATCTTATATAATACAACATATAATTAATCTTATATAATACAACATATAATTAATCTTATATAATACAACATATAATTAATCTTATATAATACAACATATAATTAATCTTATATAATACAACATATAATTAATCTTATATAATACAACATATAATTAATCTTATATAATACAACATATAATTAATCTTATATAATACAACATATAATTAATCTTATATAATTCAACATATAATTAATCTTATATAATACAACATATAATTAATCTTATATAATACAACATATAATTAATCTTATATAATACAACATATAATTAATCTTATATAATACAACATATAATTAATCTTATATAATACAACATATAATTAATCTTATATAATACAACATATAATTAATCTTATATAATACAACATATAATTAATCTTATATAATACAACATATAATTAATCTTATATAATACAACATATAATTAATCTTATATAATACAACATATAATTAATCTTATATAATACAACATATAATTAATCTTATATAATACAGCCACAAAATTATTTATTTCAGATTGAGAAGGAATATCTGCTGTGATAAATCCAGTGTCAAGTTATGAACTTGATTGGTGAAGTGAAACACCACTTAACTTTCTGCAGCACTAGGTCACAGTTCTGAATCAATATCTAATTCCATTATATTTGGAAGTTTTTCTTTAGCTGCTACTTTATTTTCGTGATTGGTATATTCTTCATGAGAGCCATCTTCACTTTTATTTTCATATTTGTTTCTAACTTATATCATTTTTTATACCCAATTGAAAAAGTGTCTGTATCCCTTTTCTTTTATTGTCAACGCCTATCTTTTTTGTTTTCTTTTTTCTCGCTTTATGTATTTAGATACTCCTTATTGTGGAACTCCTTTTACACAGAATCTTAAAAATGTCCAATTAATAAACTTCTGAAAATATAAAAAATCATTCTCTAGGATAAATTTTGAAACATTCTAATAATTTTTAAAATTTGCATTGATCCACTACAGCTGCAACAGGATTAAAAACTTAAAATAAACAAAAAAAAAGTAACTGAAAAAACAAAAAATTTCAAAAAATTTCAAAATGAAATAATTCGATATTGCATATTATATCAATAGATCATTGTTAAAAAAACTATTTAAAATCTATTCAAAAAATTTCAAAAAATTTTAAAAAATTAAATAATTCGAAATTACATATTATATCAATAGATCATTGTTAAAAAAACTATTTAAAATCTAAGACTTTAATTTGCTAAAGAAATATATAAACTAAAGAAAAAAGTAAAACTTAATATTTATTTAATTCATTTCATACTTTCTGTAACTCACTGCTACATTGCTTTTATAAAATCAATAAAAATTTACACCAGAACACAGAACTAATCAGACAAAAATAACACAGATAATAATAATCAGTAATACTACAGGGTGACAATACTTTTTTTTGAGTTAAAAAATTAGGATATTTCAAAGATCTTTAGAAAACTTCAACAGTTTTTACCAAATTTTACAAAATTTTGAATAAAATGAATAAAAGAAAACTTAAAGCTCATAAAACAAGTTTAAATTTTATATTTTAAATATAAGTATTTTTTAAACTTTAGGAGATTTTAGGAGTATTTTTGAAATTCAAGTATATTCTAGGAGAATTTAGGCATTTTTAGGTGGTTTTTTATGAATTTGGATATTTTAGGATTTATTAAAAGGCATGGCCACCCTGTACTAACAAATTTAATTGTTTTATGCCCTATTATAAAAGTTGCATTCAAAAAAAAAAAATGTCAAAATTTAAAAAATTTATATTATTTATGGGCTCATAAACTCTTATGGGTTCTGGTGCAGCGCACCAACTGCATCCCCCTTTCATAGGGCCTGAGCACATTAAAAATACATAAAATAAAAAAGCAAACAAATAACATTTTACCCTTAACATAAGCAGTAACATGTTAATTAAAGTTATTGCCAACATAAAGTTATCAAAATGATGAGATTTATTAAAATGCAACATCCGAAAAGATATACTTGATTCATTTAATGGCATAAAAGATTTGCAAGGTTTACTGTTTAAGACGTATTCCAAACAAGCATGCTAAATTTTATAATTAAAAAAATATATATACTATACATAAAATATATGCACTATAATATATTTATACATATATATATATATATATATATATATATATATATATATATATATATATATATATATATATATATATATATATATATGTATGTATATATATATATACATATATATATATATATATATATATATATATATATATATATATATATATATATATATATATATATATATATATATATATATATATATATATATATATATATATATACAGTATGTGCCAAAATTGTCACCATGTTTGGTGACAAAAAAATATTTTATATATATTTTATTAGAAAAGCTGTGAAGAAAAATTAAACTTTAGTTTTATTAATTAAATTTAAGACTTAGCTAACTAAAAATGTTGCTTTTTGTTAAATTTAGAAGATATTGAATTTTTTTTTCAAGTTTTATGTGAAAAGCTAATGGTGACAATTTTGTCGCAAATGAAAGCAATTAACATATTTGTCCACATTTAAATAGGCATACGACATAAATTAATAGCCTTATGACTAAAATGATTGAGTTATCAACATTTCACAGATTTTTAACAGTTAAATATATTTTTAAAGTTTGATTTTGTTTACAAAACATAAAAAAAGTATTTTTATTATCATCATGAGAAAAAAATATTGTGGAAAGGCTTAAATCCGGACAATCTTATTGTGAAATTGCTGCTGAGTTCGGAAAGTCTCATATTCTCATATATAAAATCTAATTGCACGATAATTTAGAAGTAAATAAGCCTAAAAGTGGTCGAAGGAAAATTTTTACACGAACTTTAATTCAGATAAAACTCAATTTTATTCGGCCAATCGTTATCGTAATAATTTAGATCTTCCTATATTTATGAATGGTAATGTACTAGATGAGTCATCTACCATTCATCTTCTAGGATTAACTCTTACTTCTGATCTTTCTTTTAAACCGTATATCAAATCCATTGCAAAATTAGCATCTGCTAAGGTTGCATCTCTTTATCGAGCTCGACACTTTCTTACTCCAGATTCTATTCTCTATCTCTATAAATCTCAAATCCGTCCCTGTATGGAATACTGTTGCCACATCTGGGGCAGATCTTCTAATGATGCTCTTTCTCTTTTAGACAAGGTGCAAAAACGAATTGTAAACATAGTTGGACCTGCTCTGGCAGCCAATCTCCAACCTTTGTCACATCGTCGTAATGTTGCTTCTCTTTCTCTTTTCTACAAATACTATAATGGGCACTGCTCTAAAGAGCTAGCGTCCCTTGTGCTATCTACTAAAATTCATTCTTGTGTTACTCGCCATTCAATTAAGTCTCATCCTTTTTCTGTGACTGTTCCTAAGTGCTTCAAAAACTCTTATTCCTCTAGTTTTTTTCCTCGAACATCAGTTCTTTGGAATTCGCTTCCTTCATCTTGCTTTCCTGATTCATATAATTTGCAATCTTTTAAGTCATCAGTCAATCGTTATCTTGCTCTACAGATTTAGTCTTTTCTCTTCCAGTAACTTCCAACTCTTATAGTGGTTGCTTGCAGCCTTGTTGGAAGTGAAGGTGTTAAAAAAAAAAAAAAAAAAAAAAAAAGAGACCAACAAACAATTGCTCGTTTAATTGCTTCTGGAGATTCTCAAACTGCAAAGGATGTTACTAATTTAATGAATAACAGCTATGGGACTCATGCTTCAGTGCAGAAAGTCAATAGAGAGCTCAAAAGAATTGGTTTTCAATCCAAACAGAAGATCAAGAAGCCATCAGTTTCTTGTCACCGCCAAGCTTGTTTAAATTATGCTAAACTTCATGCACACATGACATGCACACATATATATTTGATGACTTTTATGACTGGATTTGGACAGATGAAAGTAAAACTAATATGTTTGGATCAGGTGATGTAAGATATACTTGGAGAAAGCCTAATTCACCATTAAGTGCTTGAGATTTTACATTAACCGTTAAATATGGCAGAGGAAAACTCTTGTTTTGGGGATGTTTCTGTGCTCGTGGAGTCGGTGAATTAGTGAAAATTAATGGAATGATGAACACTGATGACTATATCAACATCCTTAAGGTCGGATATTTCAAGTCCCTTCAAAAATGGGGCAGAACTGTACATAACACGATTTTCATGCAAGACAACGACCCTAAGCATAAGGCTGATAAAACAATTTAATTCCTTCACAAGAAGAAATTGAAAGTCGTTGACTGGCCAGCACAAAGCCCTGATCTTAACCCACTCGAAAATTTATAGGCAATAGTTAAACAATGGGTCTACAACTTTCCTACTCCACCTAAGAATAAGGATGAACTTTGGGCTCGTGTACAAGAGGTTTGGTACTCAATTACACCTGAGGAATGTCGCAAATTGGTTGCTAGTCTTCCTGAAAAAATTCAGGCTGTAATTAAATCTAAGGGAGGATACACTTGATATTAATTTACTACAATATGTTATTTGCTTTCATTTTCGACAAAATAGTCACCATTAGCTCTTCACATAAAAAATAAAAAAAAAATTCAATATCCTCTAAATTTAATAAAAAGCAATATTCTCAGTTAGTTAAGTCTTAGATTTAATTAATAAAACTAAAATTTTATTTTTTTTCACAGCTTATCTAATAAAATATAAATAAAATAATTTTTTGACAATTTTGGCCTATACTGTATATATATATATATATATATATATATATATATATATATATATACATACATATATATATATATATATATATATATATATATATATATATATATATATATATATATATATATATATATATATATATATATATATATATATGTATGTATATATTTATGTGTATATATTTATATATAAATATTTATATATATATATATATATATATATTTATGTATAAATATTTATATATATATATATATATATATATATATTTATAAATACATATATATTTATTTAATATTAATATATAAAAATATATAAATATTTTTTTTATTTAATAGTGTTTTTACAGGCAAATCAAAAATAACAAAAATTGTTTTTTCTGACCTGTCTGTAAAAAATAATTGTTTGACAAAAATAATTTCTATTTAATTTTTATATTCAAATTAGTGTAAGACATAGACTAATTTGAATACAAGATTTGTAATAACATTTTGTTATTATAAAATTAAATTGTTATTATAAATTAAAACTTAAAAAATTAATTCTAAGCAAGTTTTTTAATAAGAATGAATAATATAATTAGATATTTATTCTAGAATGTCAAAAGTTAGAGAGTTAACGCCTCATCTGTGACAAATTTTTTATGAGCAAAGATAATTCAATGAATCTTTGCATAATATCATTAATATTGAAAACTATTGCCTTCTCTTGAAACATTCCATATTTCAGTAGGTGTAAACAAAGTTTGCAAAAATATTTCAAACCATTATTTGTTTAACACAAAGAGACCGAAAAAAAACACAACACCTCATCAAGATTGATTAATTGAGACTGAGGCAAAAAAAAAACATTCATTTTAGCACTAAAGGTGAAAAAAGTTTTAAATTTACCAATCGGTGATAATATCAAATCCAGATTAAATAAAGCTAAATTATGTGGTCGTGTAGCAAGAAAACCCCACTTATTTCAAAGAATGTTGCTGCGCATCTGAGGTTTGTCAGAGAACTTCAAATAAGCCTCAATAAAATTGAAAGAAAGTAAACTTAAACTAAAAAATGTTGACAGATTTAAAAAATAATAACGGATTTATAAAATAATGACAGATTTAATAAGTAGCGACAGATATAGAAAACAGTGACAGATTTAGAAAACAGTGACAGATTTAGAAAATAAAGGCAGATTTAGAAAATAATAACAAATTTAAAAAATATTGACAGATTTAGTAGTGACAGGTTTAGAAAACAATGACGGATTTAGAAAATAGATGCAGATTTAATGAAAAAATTTTTACTAACATTTAATTTTATTAAAATGTGTTTTGAAAGTTTTTTAGATAAACATTTTGAGTTGAATATTTTGTAAACTTTAAGAAGTCATTTAATCTTCTTCTTATTAATACTTTTTAAAATTTTTTGTCTTACTGCAAAAATGTGTTTTAAATGTCAAGACTCAGAAAACACTTTATTATAAACATTTTGATAAAAACATTTTATTGAAATGCATTAGAAAAGTAAATTCAATAACTCTGATTGTAATTTTAACTACTTTTTATTCTGAAGCCCGCAGTGATTATTTAAATATAAATATTTTGCATTATTAAACCAACCTTTTTACATTTTTTCATCGAAAAACATTGAAGTAACTATATTTTTAGTAATATGTAAAATAACTGTAAACAATAGAGATAACTGAAAACAATAAAGAAAAGCTAAATGTTATAATTTTAAGTGTATTTCAAAATGGTATTTAAACAATAGACCTAAAAAATGTGTGGAAATCTGAAATTTAATAACACTAATTTGATTTTATGCTTTTAATTTGTTAATTTAAACTTATTATTATTATTTTTAATCAATTTTATTTATATATTGATGTTTTCAATAATAATACTGATTGATTGACAAAAATTTTTTTTTTTTGCTATTGATAAAAATCAACTTTAACATCATCAAACATATAGCAAATGTAATCAGACAAACTCCTTTTCTCAGCCATGCAGCATACAATCTCTATTTTTGATGATACATACCATAAATGTTAACTCGTAGTTAATACATAAAGTTTTACATTTTGGTGGAACTAACAAACATAAATTTTTTATGTTTGTTAGTTCCATAGCAAACATAAAAGTTTTTTTTTTTTTTTGGTTTTTGAAAACACTTTGTCAATTTTGAACTGATACAAGTCATATTATATATGATTATATCCAAAACTTTCAATAGTTAAATTGAGATATTCTTTGAATGGAAGGCAATCGACATAAATCTCTTTTTCTTTCTTTTTTTTTTTTTTTTTGTATCACATGTTTGCAATGCAGTGTTTTTTGAAACTAATGCAGATTTACCAGAAATTAAACCAAAATCTTTGCAAATGAAAAACAAATTAGAATGAATTAATTCTTATCAAATCTATATAAGATGTTATAAAAATAAAAAATATTAATTACTAAATATTGTTTAAAGTTTGTTATCAAAGTTATTAGATTTAATATTAAAACTTATTTGTCATCGTATTTGTATGCTTGCTCAAAGGATTACAACTATTACTTGAACTATTGGCTATGCATAAAAATGTGCTAAAAAAGCAAACTCTATTATTTGTACAGTTTGGAAGAAATAGGTTCACATGAGATAAACAAGCATACTATTCAAGTATACAATATATCACTGATTTATAAATACTTTTGATATCACTGATTTATGAATAGAAAATCCATTTTTAATGAATATAAAGAAGTCAAAAAAATTAAAAAAAAAGTATTAAAGAGATAAAGCATGTCAACAAATTCTATGATATGGGGGATTAGATCAGTTTGAAAACAAGGGTAATAAAGATTGATGTTGTCTGGAAAGTGTGACTCTAAAAAATAAGAAAGAGGGATAGTTAGACATTTTTTCTTTTAATTTTGCTATTTAGGTGCCGCAAGAAGACCTAACGGTCTTGTCACAGAGCACCGCAGAAGTGCATTTAACCAGGAAGTTCATGCCTCCTTCTTTACCATGACGCAAAAATATCTCCTGCTTATAAAGCAAGCGCTCTAACCGCTGCGGCATGGCCGCACCATACATTTCAACATTTCATTATACATTTTGAACAGAAAGCCTATCTAATAAGGTGCATAAAGAAAGATGAGAACTATTTTAACAACTTTTTTCTGCATCAGAAAAAAGATGCTTAAGATTGTGTATATTGGAGACTTTAGTCCACCTCATACCTTCAGTCTACCTCATACCTTCAGTCTGAAAACATTCTTTATTTTTTAACTGAAAACATTTTTTATTTTTTAACAATAATTTAATAATAGAAATTAATAACTAATATAACAACTGTGATTTTTCTTTTTTACTGTGGGATCAAAATCAAACATTTGTTTTGGATCTTTCATAATAAATTACTTTAAAATTATTATGTTATGGACACATCTTTCATGTTAAATTACTTTACAATTGTTATGGACACATCTTACTTCATATTAAATTACTTTAATATTTGTTATAGACATATCTTCCATATTTGTTATAGACACATCTTCCGTATTAAATTGCATTTAATAATAAAGTTATTTTATATATAATTATTAATAATATAATATAAACAAAATTTTCTTATTTATTGCATATTTAAACTCAAAAAACTAAATTTATCTACTTGATTTTGGTCAAGACCACCTTGGATCTCTATTTCACCTTGTTTTTGAAACGTCAGAATAATTAATGCAACAAATATGTTGATTATCAAGAAAGTAAATATCACCATAAAAACAATAAAATAAATTCCTGCAAAGGAATAGTTCATTAAGAAATGCCCTGTATTTTCTTTAGGTATACCCATTGTCTTATACATCATTCTAAAAAAACAAATATTTTATTAGTGTTGAAAAATGTGAAGGGACTTTTAAAAAAATAACACGCACACAAAAAAAAAGACACACATTGAACTAAAAAAAAAAAAGTTTACGTCGGCCAGTTATCTTCTGTAGAACACACAAAAAGAGTTACCAAAGCATCCAAGACATTGTCAAAATGAAATTTTGAATTTTCCCAACTTCTAGATTCTACCTTAAAAAACATTTTAAAAATGTTCATTAAGGATGGTGTACATCAATTATGTCTGTTATTTTCTATAAAAAATGTTAATTAGTAATTCATTAAAGATAGCGTGCATCAACTGTCTGTTATTTTCTATAAAAAATGTTCATTAGTAATTCATTAAAGATAGTGTGCATCAATTATGTCTGTTATTTTCTATAAAAAATGATATCAAACAACTTCTATAAATGATGGTAAACATTAGGGGTGTTACAAATGCTTGAAAAAACCAAAAATTGCATAAAAAATATAATTTTTTCTTTAATTATAACATTTGAGAGTGCAAAAAAAAATGATCTCAATTCTTAATAAGGATTTTGACAATATAGCAAAAGGTAGATAATTTAAATGTTTATTTTTTTATTTATGAAGAAAAGAAACTAAGCAAATGATTTAACATTATAGCTCAAATGTAAAAATGTAAAAATTCAAGTATCTGTAAAAGAAGATTGTTAAAAGTTTAAAGATTTGTTTTACATATTTCTAATTTAATAGGAAAAAATGTAATTGTAAATAGAAAATTTACAATTACATTTTTTTTCGTAGTTGTAAATAGAAAATTAGATCAAATAAAGTAAAAGAGCTAGCACTAGTACTTTACAAACAGCATGTAAAATAATTAACTCTGCACCAATAGAGTACTTTTTTGTTTACTGTATTCTAAAGATACAAAATAAATTACCTTCAAACAAAATACGATCAAATTTGTGCAAGATAAAAAGTAAAATACATATTGTCATAGTAAAACACCTAAGTTCCACATTATTATCAAGTTATTATTCACGTTAAAGAGTAAAATCAATATTTTGTAAAAATAAATTTACAAAAATACAGTCATCATCAGCAATTATCAGCACAAAAATGTATTAGTATCCATATTCCTTATAAAAAAATTAAAATTAAAAAAACATATTGTTGAATTTTTGTTTATAGTAATGCATGCTGTTTCTTCTAGCAAACAAAAATAAATAAAAAAAAAAATTCTCTTCAAAGAAAGTTTTTTGCAGGTTTAGAAATAATTCAACCAAATAAAGTATTTGAAAGAAACCATCTCAGAGAAAATCTTATGTTCGACCTTACTATGAAGTTATTATTCTATGATAATATTTTGTAATAACAGGACTCTCTGTTCTTTGTAGGATGTTTTTTTTGGGTACTTTTTTTTACTATTTTTACCTTGTACTATTTTTACATTGTAGGGTACTATTTTTACCTTGTAGAATATGCTTTTTTTGGGTAAAGGCTAGGAGAAGTTAATTCTAACTTAGGGCACTTTGTTGAGAAAAGATGGTGTCTTAATAAAAATATTTATCATGGGACATTAAATGTATCCGGCTACTGACTTGAAGCAGGCCTCCTAGGTAAAGACTAAAGAGGTAAACAGATCTGTTGACCAGCTTGCACCTCTTCTTCACCTATTAGGCTGGCGTAGATGTATTTATAATGTTTAAAGTGTTTAGAGTTTAGGATGTTGAATGCTGCATTTTCTTGATTCAATGCATGGGTTTTGCTTGAGTCTCTGTTTTTTATGACTAGACAACTTATTCTATTATCTCCTAATGAGGATACAACAATAAAACTCAGTTTTATGGTTCTGGTAGTCAGATTTCTTGAACTCAGTGGTAGCTCTCAGAGAAGCTTATTCCATTAACAGCCTAAAAGTATCAGAGTATTACCAGAGCCATATTGCGCATGAATGGTGTCCTTATTTGTACTTTTAATATGTATTCCTTCTAAACAAATCCAAGTTAAGCTTTTCCATGCTTTTTCTTGTTGCTGCAATTTTCTATTGTAACAATTACTTCAGTTATCACCAAAATAATTCTCCAGAAAACAGACATCCGTTTACTATTCCTAAAAATTGTTAAAAGATTTTGTCTAACACCAAAATCACTTTTCTCAGGTCACGAGGTTCAGAAACCTCGTATTTCTCAAAAATCTCAAAAATTAGGCTCCCAAGACTTTTAGTGAATCTTTAACAGTGTCTATAATATGGGCAAATCTGTTATTCCAACTCTCTTGCATGGTTTAGATTTTGTTACCTCATCTGAAGACAAAGCTGAATTATTTGCTAAGAACTTTTAATTAACTTCATTTCTTGATTCCACTAATCACATCCAACCTGATATAGCTGACAAACAGGTTGATCTATTGCTTTATATTCATATCACTCCAGCTTCTGTATCTAAAGTGACTTCCAGCTTAGACTCTCCTTCAGCTTGTGACCCAGATAATATAAGTGTTATAGTCTTGCAGAAATGTTCTCTGCAGTTGTCATCTATACTTTCAAAACTATTTAACAAGTGCTTATCAGAGCCTTGTTTTCCAGCCTGCTGGAAAGCGGCCTCTACTATCCCTGTTCTCAAAAAAACTAGAGAGTGATCTGATTCATCTAACTACTGTCCCATTAGTCTTCTTTCTATCATAAGCAAAGTTTTTGAATCTTTAATTAACAAATAATTAATCTCTTATCTTGAATCTAATAATTTACATTCTGATCATCAATATGAATTTTGATCTTCTATTGCTGATTTTTTAACCATAATAACCAATAGGTTTTATAGTGCATTATATAGATATGGAGAAATAACAGCTATGGCTCTCAACAATTTGCAAAGCCTTTGATAGAGTTTGGTGTGCTGGTCTTCTCCATAAGTTCTCTTCTAACGGTTTATCAGGTAACATATTTTAGATTACCAAGCATAGTATAAAAGTCCTCAATAGACATCTGCCAGAAATTCCCAAATCTGAGTTGGCATTGTTTGCTGATGATACTACCATTTATTCTTGTCATGATAAGAAGCTAACACTCTCTGATTGCTTGGAGGGGGCATTTAAGATTGAAAAGAATTTCACTTCTGCAACAATATGGGTCTCTCAGTGACTGATAAACTTCAACTCAGATAAAAATTTTTTTAGCTAATCATTATCGCAATAATCTAGATCTTCCTATATTTATGAATAGTAATGTACTCTATGAGTCATCTACTTTTCATCTTCTAGGATTAACTCTTACTCATAATCTTTTTTGGAAACCATATATTAAATCTATTGCAAAATTAGCCTCTACTAAAGTTTCATCTTTTAATTGTGCTTGCCAATATCTTACTTCGAATTCTATTCTTTATCTCAATAAATCTTTAATCTGTACTTGTATAGAATATACAAGTACAGATTAGAGATTACAAGAAACAGATTAGTTTACTGTTGCCATATATGGAGCAGATCTTTGAATGATATTTTTTCTCTTTTTGACAAGGTGCAAAAATGCATTGAATACATAGTTGGACATGGTCTTGCAGTCAACCTTTAACCTTTATAACATCGTCATAATATTGCTTCTCTTTCTTTTTCTATTAATACTATAATGGAAGAAATAAATACTATTTTCTATAAATACTATAAAGAATACTGCTCTGAAGAACTTGTGTCTCTTGTGACATCTACTATAATTCATAAACTAGCACTAGTACTTTACAAACAGCATGTAAAATAATTAACTCTGCACCAATAGAGTACTTTTTTGTTTACTATATTCTAAAGATACAAAATAAACTACCTTCAAACAAAATACAATCAAATTTGTGCAAGATAAAAAGTAAAATACATATTTTCATAGTAAAACACTTAAGTTCCATTTTATTATTGAGTTATTACTTCTCATTCAATATTAAGTCTCTTGAATTACAAATAACTGATGTTCAAGGAAAAAAAACTAGACAAAATTCTTTTTCGTATAGTTTTTTTCCTCGAACATCAGTACTTAAGAATTTGCTCCCTACATCTTGTTTTCCTGATTTATATAATAAGCAATTTTTTGAGTCCTTTGTTAATCGTTAACTTGCTATATAAACTTTACCTTTTCAGTAACTTTAACTTAGCAGATACTTTCAGTAACTTCTAACTCTAATAGTGGTTGCTTGTAGCATTGTTGGAAATGAAGGTTTTTAAAAAACAGTAATAATAAATAAATCAAAAATTTTAGTATTTCTCAGTGGTGAAAACCAACCTGCTATATTGTAATACTATTTGTTGCTTTCAAATTATAATGCAAAGACATTAATTTTTTAAGACTTTCAGTCAATAATCTATTTCTTTTTGGTTTATAAATGTACTTACCACCTTGGACTTAAAAGACTTTCACTTTCAACATAAAGAGACACTGAAAAACGCTTTTAATTTTTTATATTTTTTAAAATTATTATTTAAAAAAAAAATTTCATTAGCAAAGCATAAGTAAAATGTATTTTTACATCTCTAAGATAAGATGTTAAAAAAGATAAACATACAGTCCTTTTTTATATTCTTTTATTTATCAATTAACACATATAATATTTTTTATATCAAATATATTTACAAAAAGAATTATCCATTATAAAATTAAATAAAAAGGATGCTGTAAACTTGCACAGTTAATAAAATAGATAAAATTTTACTCCATTATTAGAATGATTAGAACATTACACAATTCACGGAAGTTAATTTTTTATATTGCAGTAACATAAACAACTATGATTTAAATAAAATTGTTATAATATATGCATTTTATTTTAAAAGGTCTCATTATTATGATTTTAGAATAAAAAAATTGTAGAATTCAGAACTTGAGCAGGATAACAAAACATGAAAAGAATAACAGAAAAATGAAAAGGATGATAAAATAAATAGAGGGTAGGATTAAAATTTGTTCAGTGCAATATGGTAGTGGTATAGTAGTAGAGTGATCATTTCATAAGCCAGAAGTTCCTATTTTAATCTCCACCATATTCCTGGTAGTACCACACTCATCTTGTTTCTCTATACAGCGGCTTTGTTTTTCAAGGTTTGTATTTTGGAGTTAAAAAGTTTAAGTGTAAATCTGGACTATAGTGGTCAAGGTCTCAGCCTTGAGGAGGTGAATAACATTAAAAATATATATATGTATATATGAAACACACACTTCATGAAACAAAAAAATCCAAAGCATATAAAGCATTATAATCAAACCAAAAATTAGATTAGGTACAAATCTTCCAATTTAGTTTCTCAGACATATTTAAAGTTTCACATTCAAAGTTAGAAAACTATATAACTTATTAACTTTTTAGCAAAATATCAGAACATAATATGTGAATAAGATGGTAAGATCAACATTTTAGAAAAGATTATCAATCTAAAGCAGGAATAAAGTTGCCTTGGTAAATATTATCAAACTCTGAAATTATTATCAAACTCTGAAAATTGAAAAGTGTTTTATGACAAATTTGATTAAGTTATGGATATATATAAATTCAGTGCTTCAAAAATGTTATAAGACAAACTCAAGTCTGAAAACTGTCTATTGAGCAAAAAAATTAAAGGGAGTTTATAAAATTAAAAATCACTAAAACTACTAAAAATAGAGATGTTCATGTTTTAGATAATTTTGACAATTATAATAACCAAGAAAAACCAAATGTCTGTCAGTTTGACAGCTCCTGAGTAAAACATAAAGTAGCTGAGGTAGTTGGTATTTTTAATACAGACCATGGTTTCAGGATATAATTTAAAAATAACTGTTAGTGAAAATACAGAAAAAGTTGTTAAAGCTATTAAGAAAACCAACAAAAAAGTAAAAGCAGTGTTTTTGTATAATCTTTAGATAAAAAAATAATTTCCACAAATGATGGTTTTTTTTACTTACTCTTTGGCTAAAAAGAAACAGGTTTAAAGGTTTTCTTTTTTTTAACATTTTTTTTATAGGCTTAACAGGTATTGAGTAACCAAATGAACTATTAAGTGACCAATATTATCTTTTATTACCTTTTAGTATCTTCAATAACTTTTTATTAGTCAAGTCCAAGGTTTTAAAAGATTAAAAACTCTTACAATTTTGATGTGAAAGTAAAAAAATGATCTTAAATAAAACGTTTTCATGTATGCAATACTTTATACTATCCAAAAAGTAAATGTGACGATTGTTTGTTGTTTTTTTAAAAATGATTTATAAGTATATTTTTAATTTTATATATAACTTTGAAAATATAATTTTTCTTTATTGCTATTTCACATGTGATTATTTATTTATATTGAAACTTTTTTTAATTATCCTTTTTGTACGAACAGATATAAAAAAAATTAAAAACACTGATCATTCAAATATAAGATTTATTTAATAAAATATTCAGAATTTAAATAAAATTTGTAAATTACAATAAAACTAAAAACCTTTTAGGGTTAGAGTAATGAAACAAAGTTAAATATTTTATTTTATAGGAAATATTTTAGGAGCAAAAAATATAAGATGTCTGTGAAAAGGCTAAATATGACATTATTTTAAATTGATGTTTTTAAATTGTTTAAATTTGAAGATATTTTGTACAAAAACAATAAAATTAGGAGCTTACTTAAATACACTTTGATTCCATGGGAAAAAGGATCTTTATTTAGCACAAACATTTTGTGCTAAATGCAAGTTAATCTTAAATGATGTTACCGTAAGTATGACATGAAAAGTAAAGGTTCTTTAGTATGCTTATAGTAAGTATGTGAAAAAGTCCAACTTCTCAGGAACGGATCAGAAATATCCCCTAAATTCAATAATATAATATCTGAAAATAAAGAATATATTCCCAGACTTCTTTCTATCAGTTTTAAAATTCTTTTACCTAACAGTTTTAAAATGAAAAAAATAGTAGACCTGATCAAAACTTGTCCCATTCTCCTTTGATTCACCTGATGGTTTGAAAAAATTTTTCAATAAATATGATTTTTGATAAACAAAATTGGTTTCGTAGGAATTACATAGATGTTTGCACAAGATATTTTAATTTCCAATTTGTTTTTTTAGGAGGTAAACAAAATTCCGAAACAAGAAATTTACTCAACTCAAATTTAACTCAAATATTTTCAGCCAATCATTATCGCAATATTTTAGACCTTCCTATATTTATGAATGGTATTGTACTTGATGGGTCATCTACCCTTCATCTTCTAGGATTAACTCTTCCAATTCTTCTTGGAAACTGCATATCAAATCTGTTACAAAATTAGCATCTGCTAGGGTTGCATCTCTTTATTGAGCTTAACACTTTCTTACTCCAGATTCTATTCTCTATCTCTATAAATCTCAAATCCAGCCTTGTATGGAATACTGTTGCCATATCTAGGGCGGATCTTCTAAATATGTCCTTTCTCTTTTAGACAAATACAAAAATGCATTGTAAACATAGTTGGACCTGCTCTTGCAGCCGTTTAAAAAAAAAAAATTTACTATTATTATAAACTATTTGTGAAGATAAAAGTGAGAAAGTTTAAAGTTAAAAAAAAAAGAATAACAATAGTTATTTATAAAATGTGTCATTATTTAACTTTTTTTAACAAATTTTTTGTTGTTGTTAAAATGTTGTTTTTTCATTAAATTTAGGAACAGATTTATCAACATTATTTTAAAAATATAGTTTAAAAACCTAAGGCGCAGTTATAAGTTCTAAGACAAAACACTCTATCTTGCACTTGTTTGCAACTAAATGTACTAAACTTACTTGCTTGCAACTGAATTTAATACTTTTAAACACTTGACTGAAAAATAAAATAAAATAATAATACAAATATTTTTAATAACTTACCTTTGGAAACATCTCTATATCTTTATTTGAATCAGTATCATATTTGGAATAATCTCCTCTATTAAAAAAAAAAAGAATTGTGATGCTAACCAATAAAATAAAAAATCAACATAAACAATGCTAAATAAATAATTTAATACAGTATAATAAACAATAATGTTATTTAATAAATTTATAAGAAATAATAACAATACTATCTAATAAAAAATAAAGAAAACTTTAGTAAAAAACAAATAATAAACTTTATACTTGCACATATCTTTATTCTTGATAGTTTCATCAGTGCAATAATATAACTTTCCCTGAATATAATATTGAAATTTTTACTATAAATAATTATATATATTGCCTAATACTTGCTGATAAGTTATATACCTTCAATTGCTTATTTTTCTGAGTACAAATGTAATATTGCACAATTTAACATTAAAATAATATAAATATATATAATATATATATATATATATATATATATATATATATATATATATATATATATATATATATATATATATATATATATATATATATATATATATATATATATATAAATATATAAATATATATATATATATATATATATATAAATATATATATATTATATATATATATATATATATATATATATATATATATATATATATATATATATATTTATATATATATATATATATATATAAATATATATATATATGTATATATATATATATATATATATATATATATATATATATATATATATATTTATATAAATACATAATGTATAATATAAAATAATAACCCCTACTAGAATTATTTTTTAGCCAGGTTTGTAAAAAAACTCTATATTTGGCCAGGGCCAAGGCTGATGCCCCAGTCACTTCCGCTACAGAAAACATGTTTTTAAAAAAAAAAAAAAACTTTTCTAAAAAGTAAAGAAATAAAATGTTGAATGATTATATTATAAACTATATTTGTTTATTATATAAACTTTAATTTAGGAGTGTCCATTTTTTGGACCATTTGAGGTTAAGAAAGCTTTCTTTTCTTTGGATAAAATGAACAAACTTTAACTAAAACTACATACGAGGCTTAAAAATTGTTTTTTAATAATTTTAGAACGTGTAATTTTTATCTTATTTTAATAGATTTTATCTAAAAGTCAATGATTAATTAGTTAATTTTTTTAGGAAACAATGTAACATAGTTTACACCTATAAGATAAAAGAGCCAAAAAAATTTTCTACTAACTAAAATCAATATAAATATTATAAATTAAATCAACTTATTACAAAAAAAAGTCATATACCTCAAAAAGCTGAACACCAATACATGCAAAAATAAACAGCATCAAAAAAGCAATTATCAAAATGAATCCAATGACTTTAAATGAATATATCATACATAAAAATATTATCTAAAACGAAAGCATAAATACAAATATCTATAAATAAAATTCAATTTTTTCAATTTTTAAAATAAAATCTAAAATCTATACCTATATATATATATATATATATATATATATATATATATATATATATATATATATATATATATATATATATATATATATATATAATATATATATATATTTATATATATATATATATATTTATATATATATATATATATATATATATATATATATATATATATATATATATATATATATATATTTGCGTGTGTGTAGCTTAGCAACACATTCCCAGAATTTTTTTTTTTTGTTTATCATCAGAAGACTCTTCCTTATTCCAAAAATGTAAAAAAGTACTTTTTTTTAACGGGGGGCCTGGCGAGATATTGTATATTTTAAGCAAGTGCCCAGTAATTTTGTTGTTCAAGAAAGGCATCTGAGAGCCATTTAATGTACTCAAATTTCTAGTATGTTAATACTGGTGTTAAATGAGGATGACTCGTAAAAGTTTAGGTCATTGGAGCTAATTAAATCCGTCCTGACAATTACCTCCTTCCTAGAACAACATCTTTTAAAATAATAAACTTTTTTTTTAATTTCTATTATGAGTTAGATCAAAATTTATTGATAGATTTTCAATTTCATCAAAAAATCTCCTTTTGCTTAAGATTTATGACCATAAGAAGTTTAAAATTCTTCTCAATTACCCCCAGTAATAACTTTGAATAACCCCCAGTAATAACTCTGAATTGTTGTAACTTTTAAATGAGAATTTTTTTTTTTTGATGAAGTTCGACATTAAATAACTGTCAATAAATTTCAATCTATTTAAAAAAAAAAAAAAAAAAAAAAAATTGAAAAATTCCTCCTATAAACCTGTGGGTTGGATGGTTAAGGATTAGAGGATGTTTGTTAACACCACAAAATTGCATTAAAAAAATCATGCTCTCAAGCATCTATTTTGAGTTTCAAAAGTAAAATTCAAGACTGAATTATAATCTTTAAAATGTCTAATCATGCGAAAGAACACATTGATTTTATTAAAATGTTTTGTATTGGCTGCTTATCAAAAATTTTATCAAAACTATATTTTGGAAAGATTATTCAGCTAATAACTCAAACCTTCCTACCATGCTTTGCTCAGAATGTAGAAAAAAGCTTGCTGGGACTGACCTTTACTTCACCATACAACTGTGTTATGAAGGTAAAATATACATATTTGTATATAATTTACTTTAGTTAAAATTTAGTTCCATTATTATGACAACTATAGTCACTATACATACACTATGAAATTTTGATCTGAATACCAGACAGAGGGAGAAAATGTGAGTGTTTTATATATAAAATTGGGCATAAATCAAAAATGGACAAAATATTGGCCCCTATGGTCGAATGTGTTTTGGGAAAACCTGTTTATAAAGACATTTCAAATAAACCTGCCAAAAGATTTGTCCAGATTGCATTCTTTAAGTGTCGCAAGGAATTCCATATCCCTGTATGAAGTTACAAAGACAAATGAATTTGACGACCATTGTAAGATTAAAATGCAAAATCCCCTAAAATGCAAGGAAAAGTTATGTCCAGTTCTATCAAAGGTTTGAACACAAATGAAACAGAGAATACTTTAGCTTTTAAGGTTAAGAAAGCTTTCTTTTCTTTGGATAAATCAAACAAAATTTAACTAAAACTACATACCAGGCTTTGATGCTTAAAAATTGTTTTTAATAATTTACTTATTAGCTTAAAGTTAATTTTTAATAATTATTATTAAATAATAATTATTATGAATTTTAACAATAATTATTATGACTATTAATAATAATTATTATGACTTTTAACAAAAATTATGACTTTTAACAATAATTATTATGACTGTTAATAATACTTATTATGACTGCTAATAATGATTATGACTTTTAACAACAATTTTTATGACTTTTACAAAAATTATTATGACTGTTATTAATAAATATTATGACTGTTAATAATAAATATTATGACTGTTAATAATAATTATTATGACTGTTAATAATAATTATTATGATTGTTAATAATAATTATTATAACTTTTAATAATATTTTATTCGAACAATGTGTTCAAATTTCCTTTGCAAACAAGTCTTTTTTAACATTGTTAGGAAATATAATTTTACAAGTGTAGCAAGTGACGTCTATTAAATGTGTATGAGCATATCCCTAAAATAAAATTTTGTAATATTTTTCGATTTATTATAACTTACATTAAATAAAAATACATTACAATATTTTTGTCTTAACATGTCTATTTGGTGTATTAACAATTTTATTATAAAGTATTAATAATTAACGTTCAATTTATAAATTATTATAATAACAATTTTTAAAATTTTTCATTTTGTGGGTTATTTAACTAATTATGTAATTTTGGGAAGGGTATAAGAAGCAAATACTTTATACGTTTATAATCAGCTGCAAATAACAACTCCCTTGTTTTAGATTTAGATTTGCTATTCTCATTTTGTAATGGCTATAAATCAAGGAACAGATATTATATACAAACATTTTTTACGTGCTGTGGATGGAATAAAAGTTTTCAGCTTTAATGTATGGTAACAGAAAAAAGTAAGGAGAGAGAATTGTGTGGTGAAGAAATTGTATGTGCCAAAAAAGCTCGCTTGAGCAACCTTATTTGATACTTATCAAGATAACAGGCTGACATATCAAGGCTGATCTTTATAAAAATAATAAAAAAGAAAAACTAGAGAAAAAGAAAAGAAAAGAAGAAATTTATAGGCAATCAAAGTAATTGGCAGCAGTCTATATTAAAGTGTTTTCCACCTCAGCAAGTTAATTTAACAAAGGATGAGTTTTTAAAAGTGTTAAATGAACTGGTTTTAGTTGAAGGTATTTCATTCCAGGTTAAGATTTATTAAAAGACATACAATTATGTTATTCATTTTCCTTTCATTTTTAACTTTCGCTTAATACTTTGCTATTTGGTTTAATTTTGTTAAAATTTCTTTGTTGCAATTAATCTTAAATAAAAAAACATGCTTTATCAAAATTGTTTTCTAGGCATTTCATTGGAAACCCATTCAAAAACTTTGTGGAAAAGTGACTTCACAGTTCAGATTTTCACTTAATAGAGATATAAGAATTCAAATTTGCAACCTTTCCATAAAGTGTTGCAAAGAAATTAAAAATGTAGTATCAAAACTATTGGTTTAAAAGTTGATTCGACAACAAGGCATGTGTCACTACCCTAGTATATATAACACTCAATAGATAATGAAGTTATTATTGTCAACCTTAGCATCATTGATACAAAAGGAAAACAAATAGCAGACCACACTAAAAACATTAAAGTAATTCAATATTTTTAAATTTAAATTAACAAATAATATTTGATTTAAGTATTCATAAAATATATTTCAAAATGCAACGTATGTTAGGTAAATATAAAGTTAGTGCATGACTGAAGGATATCAACGAAGAGAAAGTTGACTTTTAATTTGCATTAGATGAGTAAGACGAGGATGACATCTCTACATAGGATAATGTGGCAACAGTCTTGGCTGCTGAAGTTGTTTGAAGTATGAACATAATTCACCTTTGAATATGTACTGTCCACACTCTACAGCATTCAATGAATGAAGAATTCTACATCATTCAATGATGTCTTAAAGAAGCCTACAATAAAAAATTTAATGAGTACTGCAAGAGAAGTTGTAAAAGTTGCAAGAAAAGTGGGTTGACTACTTCAGAGATCAATCCCAAAACTTAATTCCTATTTTAGATCAGACTACCCATTGGTTGAGCCAGTTTAACATGATTGAAAGGCTCATCAAGGTTAATAAGCTACTATTTAAACTATTTAATTTACTTAGTATATATAAATAGAGAAATTTTTTTTGTGCTCTTTTTGTTTAAATATCAAAATTAATTCAATGTTGATTCTGCATAATGATTCCAAAAATTCATTTCCTACTGATTTTTTGAAATGCTTGTGCGACAACCCTTTTTTAATATCGAAATATCCGCTTCTGCAATGTTTTTTTAATATAATTAAAAAATACAAAATTTTCATAAAATATTTTATTTTTTTAGAATTAACCAATTATCGAAAAGCTGAACACACTAAAACAAGCTCCTAAAGAGTTTAATGTTCAGCCGTATTATTGGGGCATCTGGGAAGAACTACAAGATGTATTAGAGATGGCTCACTATCTCACTATTCGCCTTCAGTGGGAGAAATCGCTGCTGGTGAGTTTCTTTTTGATTGGAACTCAGTAAAGTGTGAGCTTGATAGCAAATACCATGAGTTAACAAAAGATATTCAGAAAGGAATGATGAATCGAAAATTTGCCCTAAGAGAAAATACACTTTTTCTCGCAGCAGTTTACGTAGATATTTGACATGGTTGCATGCTGACAAGTGAAGACAAGGTTTTTTTATTATTATAATTTATTATAGCTATAATATTATCACCACTTTACTAAGTATATATTATATAAATATAATCTAAAAATTTCAAATTTCTTTAGATGACTGCAGCTGACAGCCTTGAGAAGATAAAATACAGACTAATTCAACTGGAAAATAAAAATTAGAGGGTTCAATTTGAAAAAAAGAGCAAAGTAATATCAACCACCTTTTATGCTGTTTGTGTGTTTGATTCAGATTCTGAAAATGAGGCGTATGTCTCACCAGTAAAAAAACAGAGACTTAATTTGTTTTTACTGTGCCATATAGGAATTTTTCAGAAGATGTGCAGAACCAACTTTGTACAATTAGAAAAAAATTAGGTCAATTATCAATAATAACTTGTCCAAGTGAACCCATAAAATGCAACTGACTGTTTCCCAAAAATTATAAGGGATGCCTGCAGAGTTGCTTTGTCTTTGCCTATCTCTCAAGTAAGCGTGAAACTGTTTTCAGTGTTGAAGCACTCTGGACCATCCTAATTGCTTTATATCTAATTTAGTTGATGATATGCTTTTTTTGCAGTCGAGTTTTTT